ACATGTTTTGTTTAATCAAGTTGACATTGTTCAAGAGACAACACTTCTGTTATTTACCTTGGGAGATTACTCCAGAAGCTGCATGGTTTCTAAAGCTTATCTGAATCTCTTGAGCTTGCAAAATGAGACTGGAAATCTTGCAAAAACAGACACTTTCACATCTTTTCTCCATTTCTGCTTCTGCCCCCAAGCCAGAAGTGCAACAGAAATGAAGAAACCCAACTTACTGAACTTAAACCTCAGAAACTTTCAATTCAGCTTTTGGATAAAGTTTCACAACCAGGCAAAACTCAGGTTTTACTCAAGTGACTTGCTCATTAACTGACACCATGGCATTTATATTAATAAACAGCTGTAAAAAGCAACCAAAACAGGGGAGGCATGTAAAAGAAAATCAGCAATCACATGAAGAAATAACAACTAGTCACTGAAACTTTTGCAAAGGCCTTTTGGGCATTGGTGGCTTTCAAAGCAGAGCTACTTCTTTCACCACTGTCAAATATTGGTCAGTATTCAAACCATAGAACTTGGTGCAAAGTCATTCTTTTATTTTTTTGAACAGCATCTTTGTTCAAGTAAACAAAATATTTAAAAAAAATTTAAGACAGTTGCCTTTGTTTTTTTTCTCTGTCAACATGTATTGGCTTTGTAGGAAAACACAAAAATAGAACAACCTAGGTGTAAACACACAGAAGTGCAAAAGTTCCTGGAAAAATTAAATCATGAGGTGCTGTAGGGCTTACACTTTTGCCTAATGAATGTAAATTCGTACACCGAGGAACATGATATAGACAGAAACAGCAGATAACATGTAACCAACAGCCACAGCTTTCAGATTATATGTAATCAGTTTTAAACTTGGACTGGCACTAATCATAGAACCTTAGAATTACAGACTGATTTGGGTTGGAAAGGACCTTAAGTTCCAACCCCAGACATTTCACATAGACCATGTCACCCAAAGCTATGTCCAGCCTGTCCTTTATCACTGCCAGGGATGGAGCATTCAGAAGTTCCTTGGGCAACCTGCTCCAGTGCCTCACCACCCTCATAGTAAAGAACTTCCTTATATCTAACCTGAACTTCCACTGTTTCAGTTTGGATCCATCACCCCTTGTCCTACCACTACAGTCCCTAATGAAGAGTCCCTCTCCAGCATCCTTATAGGCCCCCTTCAGATACTGGAAGGCTGCTATGAGGTCTCCAAGCAGCTTCTCTTCTCCAGGCTGAACAGCCCCAACTTTCTCAGCCTGTCTTCATATGAGAGGTGCTGCAGCTCCCTTATCATCCTTGTGGCTCTCCTCTGGACCTGCTCCAACAGCTCCATGTCCTTCTTATGTTGATGACACCAGAACAGCACACAATACTCCAAGTTGGGTTATAATACCATGCCGTCTTCTGTCTGTATCCTAATGGAAACATTCATTGGGATGACGATAGAGAAAAAAAAGAAGACTGGTATTCTAAAAATGGTATTAAACCTATTGACATAGGTTTAAGAATATCAGTACAGTATAGAAGTACAAAGTCTGCTATTTCCTACCTCGTTGTGCAAATCAACAGGCCTTGTCTCTATGCCTGCATTCTTGGATGCAACTGCTGCACTACTTTGCACCAACTGGGCTGTCCTGCTTGCTGTAGCTGATACGTTCAGCAAGCATAGCTGTACGGCAGTGACAAGCGTCACTTGGACTCTTCTTGCCTGAAGAAGCCCACTACTACTATCTTAATCAGATCTGCTCTAATCTTTGAAGTGATGTAAGTAAGTCTATTCTTAAAGAGGAGCTTTATGGGTTCCATTCTTGACACCTCTGAGATACAAATTATTTTAAAGTAGATGTCTGTTGACGCTTATGGAGACAAACAGTATTTAGTTTTCAGTAGCCCTTCTCTTTCCTGCATTCTTCAGATCGTAAATTTCATACAATTCTTTGAAGATAAATAGTTTCCTTAGCAATGAGATTATGGATCTATCTTCTCGTAGGTTTGTTTTCTATGTGGTTTTGTTCCTGCACCTATCTGTCAATCATACATCACAATAAAATAATTTTTTACTATTGTCGTGGTTTAAACCCAGTCAGGTAACTTGTTCACTCACTCCCAGTGAGTGGTGCCGAGCTGACAACAATCGAGGTCCGTCCCCCCCCCCTGCACCGGGGCTCTCCCCTTCCCCGCTCCCGGAGGAACAGGGAGGAGGATCGAAAGAGTGCAACTCCTACGGGTTGAGACAAGAACAGTCCAGCAACCAATGTACAACACAAATCACCACCGCTACTATCAACTACAACAATGATAAGGGAAAATAACAAGGGAAGAGAATACGATACCAGCGGCCAAGGAAACGAGTTCCACCCGGAAGCCCGTGTCCTTCCCAGTCACCCCCCACCCCGGGCATGACGTGCTGTGGTATGGAATACCTCCCTGGCTAGCCCGGGTCAGGCGCCCCATCTCTGCTTCCTCACAGCTTCCCCTCCTCCCTGGCAGAGCATGAGCCTCACAAAGTCCTTGGTCAGGGTAAACATCATTTAGCAACAACCGAAAACATCGGCTTCACCAACACTGTCCCCAGGCTGGAAGTCAAAACACAGCACTGCACCAGCTAACACAAAGGAAAAACATGACTGCGACTGCTGAACCCAGGACAACTATCCTTTTAAAAAATTTGCTCCTGGTTTCTGTTTTGAATCTCTCTTGGACTCAATTTCTTACCATTGCATCTTGCTATCAAATATTAGATCAGAGCCCTCTACCATCAGAAATCTGTCAGAAATCATTCACCTCTCCTGTTTTGTTTTTTTTTTTTTTAACAGTGAAATGTTATATTAAAAACTCCATGTGAGTTCTCTGAGTGGAATGGATTTTCGTGGCACCATCACCATTCATTTCAATTTAACTCACACAAAAATAAAATTTCTGTGAATCTATAGCTTTGAAGCATGAGGTAGTGAAACTTTCCAAATACACATCAGAGCTTTGTAGCTTCGGTCATATTCAGACTCCCCCCATTTCTCCATCTCATTTTTGTCACGCACAGACTCATAGAATGGTTTGGGTTGGAAGGGACCTTAAGATCGTACTCCCATGGGCAGGAACACCTACATGCCCTTGTAAAAAGTCCCTCTCCAGATTTCTTGTAGGCCCCTTTAGGCACTGGAAGCTTCTCTAAGGTCTCCCCAGATCCTTCCCTTCTCCAAGCTGAACAAACCCAACTCCCTCAGCTGGTCTTCATAGGAAAGGTGTTCTAGCCCCTGAATCGTCTTCATGGGCCTCCTCTGGACTTGCTTGAGCAAGTGCTGTGTTGGAGGCCTCAGAGCTGAATGCAGTACTCCAGATGGGGTCTTATGAAAGCAGAGGGGGAGAATCACCTCCCTGGACCTGCTGGCCATGCTTCTTTTAATGCAGCCTGGGATATGGTTAGCTTTCTGGGCTGCAAGTTCACATTGCTGGGTCAATTTTGAGCTTCTCATCAACTAACACCCCTTCAAGTCTGCCTTAGGGCTGCTCTCAATCCATTCTCTGCCCAGCCTGTAGTTGTGCTTGAGAATGCTCTAACCCAGGTGCAGCTGAATTTGCCTTGTTCAATTTAATGAGGTTCACACTGACCCACCTCTTGAGACTGTCCAGGTCCCTCTGGATGGCATTCCTTCCTTCCTTCCAGCGTGTTGACTGCCCACGTTGCCAACAAAGATGTTAAGAAGTGCTGGTGCCAGTTCCAGCCCCTGAGGAACACTTGTCACTCATCCATACTCCACTCTCGTTTCCGCATTGTGTAGTTGTACTCTCTGCCCTGCATGTTACATGTGCCTCTAATTCCTGACCATATCCATCACTTGTACACAGAGAATCTTGTTTTAAATACTGTGGGTTGTTTTCCTGTAGTAATCCCCTAAAGAGAATTCTACGGAAAATAAAATTTTGTGTTTTACTTCACCAGCACAGTAAAACTGACAGCAGCATGTGACAAGTGAATTTTTCATCTGGGAAAGCCTTTGGAGAATATCCTTCCAAAGCGAATACAGTATCCATTCCTGATTAGGCCTTTAAGAGTTATTTTTGACTGGGTAGGCAGTAGTGTTGTAGTGCTTTTTCCCTGGGCTTAAGGCCAAGACTTACTACTTGGCCTGAACTGGTTGGCTTGTGATCTTGCTGTATGAGGATATTACAGGCACTGGCATCAAATCTGAACTATCTTTAACAATTACCGAAACACAATGGCCTAATGGTGGCTGGTTTAGTACAGTGGTAGAATATCCAACACTGGAGAGAGAAGAAAAGGCAGTATTGCAAAATTATCAGAACCAAAGGGGCAGGGGGAGACCCCAGGGAAGGTTGTCCCTATCTGTAAGCCTTCGGAAAAGGACTGTCCAGCAGCCTTTCTGCTGGGACATGTGCATTTTTTCTTCTCAAAAGCAAGCTGCTCTTCCTCTGATGCAAAATGTGCAGTTTGACAAGGCACCACCTAACTTCTCACTCCCTGTTGCTTTACAGGGGCTTTTCCTCATAAACCTTTGGCTCTTTATGGGCAATCACCCTCCACCAGCCCAGCAGCCGCCTCCTAACTGACCTGTGCCTCATGAAGATGTCCGGCACAATGGTGAGACCCAACCTCGGCCTGAAGTGAGCATCACGTCCCAGCCAGGCACTGGGGATTTTAAACAAGTGTCAGCGACAAAAAGATGTCGGAGCCCTGTGCTCGCCGTCCATCAAACGCTCCTCCAGTGCCTTCTGCCACCATCACCGTGAGGCGACCGGGCGCAAGGGCAGCGTGCAGGCCTCGCCGGCGGGGCTGCCAGCGGCTACGAGATCAACGGCCGATCGGGGGCCGCCGCCACGACGCCTTGGGCGGGAAGCGCAGCGTGAAGGGCTGCCCGCGCTGCCGGCCGGTCCCGGGGCGCACCCCGGAGCCGTGAGGGGAGAAGACACAGCCCTTGACTTGGCGGGGCCACCCCCAGCACGGGGCGCCGTGGCTGGGGCGGGTGCCAGAGGAGGCGGAGGCAGCGGCGGGACCTGCCCTGAGCAAGGGAACTTGTTAAAGTCCCGCCGCCCGCGGTACTCAGAGGAGGTGCGCGGTAGCAGCAGCATGGTCCGGCTCGGTGGCGGCGTGTGCTGCTGCTGCTGGGGGCTTGTCCTGTTGTGGGCGGCGGCGGGGGGCAGAGCAGGTGAGACGGGCGGGGCGCGGGAGGGCAGTAGGGGGGGGGTCTTGCCCCAAAGTCCCCTCAGCGGGACGGCCGGATGGGAGGGAGACAGCGGGGTTGTCCCATGCTCCCAGGCGGCCGGGAGAAGCTGTCCCCCACCTGGGCCTCTTGCCGCGGCTCCCGAGGAGGTAGTGCAGCTCGCCCGGGCCCGCTCTGGAGGACCCGCCGGGCTCTGCGTCCCGCCTCGTCGCTGTGCCTCCTCCCCGCGGTGGATAGGGCCACCGTGCCGACTTGCGAGGCGGCGAGGGGCCTCGTTCGTCGGCAGTGCCGGGGCCGTCAAGCTCCTCCACCATGGGGAGGGCCCATGGGCTTACTCCGAGAGCACCTCACGTCCCTCCGGCTGGGACAGGCTCGGCCGTGGTGCCTCGTGGGTGCTAAGTGCCGGTACTTTTTTTCTGCTTTCAAAACATCTTTCCGGTTCCCAGAATGGGCGAGGGGAGCCACACTAGGGATTCAACAGATGGGAGGCTGCCTTCAGCTCTCAGAGGTGCTGGTTTTTAATGTTAACAGGCATGCACGGGAATCATTTAGGACGTATGCTTCGTTTTGGTGCTGTGGCCTGCAGGATGCTGTATCTTAACAGAGTTTTAATGCTAGCTTGTGGGTATAGGTTGTCATCTGTGTTTAAGAACTCATACGTATGCATGATCCAGTGTTTCCTGAGTAGATTAACTTGTGTTGAGAGTAACTAATTTACCAATATCTGGTTAGCTTTCAAAATCTGCAGGTGTTTTCTATGGTGCAAGCCCCACTTCATGCTAATTTTTTGCTCACGGCTGGGATTTTTTTTTGTCATGCATTTGCGTAATGTAATAGTTTTTCATTCAAAGTTGTAAGGCTCAATTAGGATATTTCAATTCTTGTTGTAACTTATAGTCAGATTTAGATGCAAACAAAATTTGGCAAATGGCATAACAGCGCATTTTGGTGAGCTTCACAATTTTTGACAGAATCTCTTTAATATTAAAAATTGAGTTTCTGCTTGGTTTGTTTGAGACTTATTGCAGCTGTGGACATACCACTATGTGATAGAAAAAACATGCCGGTGAAGTCATGAACATAGAATTTTATTTTTTTTTTCCATTTCAAAGTATGAAACAGGTTTGCCAGCAACTAGAAGGGTGGGGAAAGGAGGCACTAAAGGAGGGAATTTTAAGAGATGCTGAGCAAGTGTGGAGCGTGTGAGAGTGAAGGGGCCTCTGGAAGACTGGTGAGGGTTAGTGACAGCAGCCATTGGAAGCAGAATGTCCATTAGAGAATTTCGAATACCATTTGTACCGATGGCAATAGTAGGGTTGTTGGGGACCAAATCTCATCAGGAGAATATCTTCCTCTTCTACTACTTTCAGTGAGTTCTGAAGATCTTAAAGGCTGGATTCAGTGCTTATCTTCTAGGAAATTCCTAGTTCATACATTAATTGCCACAAACCAAGGAGAAATTCAGGTAACTGTTGTTTTAATGTGTCCAAAATGTTACAAGCATATAATTTTGCTGATGGTCCCACCTCATCTTGCAGATCTACTTTTCAAACTTTATCGGAGTTTGGCAAAAACTTTAGTGCTACATTAGCAGGACTGGAGGAAGGGTCAACTGTGTATCATGCAGAAGAAATGAAAGGAAGTTTAGGTTTTAAAGTAGTTTTAGGTAATTTCTGATTCCTCACATCATAATTGCAGTACTGGTAGAAAACTACTGAGGAGCAAATAGAAATGCCTTTAGGCTATTTAGTGGAGTAAAGGTGGCCTTCAGCATTGTGAATTGTATAGATTTTTTTAATTATTATTATTTATTTGTTCATTGTTCTTTAGCATTTTGAATGCCTTGAATATTCTTCATCAGACAGTTAGGAAAGTGGTTTTAGAGAATGTTTTCTGGTAAAAATTACTTAAATTGAGAGACTATATGATAAGCGAAGGTACTTGTGAAACTGTTATTTTTGTTTCCTTTGTGGATTGACGTATAACTGTTTTAGCTAATGCAGAAAACTTGCCAAGCTTTACTAGTCAAGTATCCTTGTGAGCTTGAAAATTGTACAATACTCAAACTCTTTATTTATAGTTCACATTTGAATATTGCTTCTCTCTCATGTAAGCACAAATCAGGAGATTAGGTTTCAAATAATGACCAGCCTGTTAGAACCAAATTGGAAAATTACTTAGACCTGAAATGTCTGAGGAAATGGGATGAATTAAGGCCAATAGAATAGAAAACGCAAATAGCTTATATTCAAGCAGAACAAGAAAACTTTCACTCCTTTAATTGAACATTACTGGGTTTCATGTTAAGTTCTTGTGTGGTTTAAACTAATCTCTAAAGAAGTCCTGAAGTGCTTAACATTGGTGTTGTAATGGCTTCCAGTCATAACTGTACTTTGTAATCTTAGTTGTACTTTAGAGGTATAGAACCTTTTCTGAAGAACTGTTAAAAGAATGGTTCTAAAATTTTTAATGGGAAAACAGGACAAGCTCTATCAAATTACAAGGCTGAACAGAAACATCATATAGTTCCTTACTCTGGTGGACCTGAAATATTTAAATGTTAAGTTGTGCATATATAATCTTTCCTGGTGAATGTTAGCGGCAGGAGAGGGTACACTGAAAACAGAAGCGCTAGGTTTTTGTGTTTTGAAGTTGCACAAAACTAGTTTTTCAGTGAAAAAGTGGAGTGATAGCTTCCTTGTTTAGTGGAAAGATGGGTGCTGTAAAATACATCCAAACAACTCTACAAAAAAGCTTCATACTTGAAAAGTCATAGATAAAAATAAGCATGTGAAATAGATATAAAAACTAGTAGCTTAAGGAAGCCAGTATTTTTGCTATTAATAGGAAATGCTCAAATGGTTGTTTATTAGCTTATTACATGCAACCTACCCAGTGCTTCATTGCTTGTAAGTTGGCTTCTTTTTCAAACTACGGAAAAATAAGAATATTAATTCTCACTCCCAGACATTGTAGCTCTTTTGCCTGCAAGGCAAAGTGAGTTCTGTTAATTTCTTTAATTGGAAAGTCCAGTAGCCTATTTAGATATATTTATGTTTTAAAAACAACTTCTATCTGAGAAAGCATAAAGAAAAGCAACTGTTGCATATTGCCAAACAGATTTTACTGTTAAGGCACATCAGGTGTTATTTTTGTAGCTACAATTTATTTAATAGATATCGGTGTCAATTATCAAGTAGTGTGTTTATTAGATAGTCTTGGGCCATCTCGGTGTATTGCTCTTTTTTTCTGCCTCATCTTCTCTGTCCATTCTGTTCTTTCATTGCAAATTACTGCTACTCACTCATGTACTCTTCAGCATCTACTTTCCTCTTTGTTTCATCTTGCTCAGTCCTCTTACTTAGTATTTTACTTCTGCTTTTTCCATATTCTCACAAACTTGTATTTCCTCTCTCCTACTGCCACCAGATAAAAGACAAGCTCATTTTTAACATAACCTTGGAAATGCCTTTGCTAGGCCAAAAAGGCAGAAAACAGATTAGGCATTTCAGCCAAAAAAAACAAGGGGACTACTACCACCTCCTAGCCGTAGCTGAAGTATCTTCATTTTTCCATTATTTAGGGTATAACCCTGGAAAAAAGCAGATACTTCTCAGTTCTTGAAGAAATCCCAGCACTCTCCCAGCTGCAGTCCCTATGTTTGGATCTTTATTTGGCAGAAGCATTGATGCATCTCTAAAAAACAGGCAATTTGAGGAAAGGTTCCTGTCAGTCCCTAGTGGCTGCAGAAAGGAGAAGGAACACTGGTTTATTACCAGGCTTATTTTGTCATTGCACTTCTCCACTTCTGTCTCCCACCATACAGTGGGTATGGTGGAACTGTGTATCGCTGATGCTATGCAGTTCTTCTGGCTGGCTGGTTGCACAAAGGGGAATGGTGACTCCACTGACCTACCCTATCCCCAGGGATTTTGAGTCATTCATCGCAGTAAATAGCGTGTGCTTCAGCTTGTTATTTAGGTTATTCTAAGTGATGCTGTTTTGGAATAGCCACAGGTTATCACAGTCTTTTCTGTTCTTTAGAGTCCTAATAGGCTGAAAAGCTTGGAAGCATTCTCAGCTACACATTGGGAAGTCTAACTTCAGTAATAAAAGGATGATTTAGAGATTCATGGAGACACTGTTTGATTCATACGCAAGGAGTTACCAATACAACTGCTGGGATCAGCGATGATAGGGCGCCTGCCTCACCCACCAAAAAAAATGAATAAAAAATGCCAGCATTATTCAAAGGAAAGGTTCTTCGTGTTGCAGGACACATACAGGATTGTTTGGAAATGTGCATTTTTTTCTTCTGTATCTATATTTCATATCATACTTCAGTTCTGGATGGTTTTCTTGTCAATGATCATGCAGCTACCTTAGATGAGCACAGATTAAAATTGTAACAGACTGGGTGATAACAAATGTTTTAATTACATTGTAGTGTAAGCGTGTTTTCACAGAATCATTAGGGTTGGAAGGGACCTCTGGAGATCATCTAGTTTTAAGTGTACACAGATTGTAAGCTTGTAGTTTTAACTCCATCCTAGAGCATTTAACTCATTTAACTCTATAGCAAGATAAAGATTTATCATCTAAATTTTAATAATTGCTATAAGACTATATATATGTTCTTTGAAATAAACATAGCAATTTAACTATTCAACTATTTAGAGGAGGGCAATTAGATCTGCAGAAACGGACATAAACTAATGGGGTGAAATAGGACAGCAAGTGAATGAGTTGTGAAAAAAATAACAAATTAGTAATTGGAAATGGTCTTTTCCAGCATCATTGTTAAGCCACATCTATGGCAGGTATCTTGATGCTGTTCCTCGAGAGGCCTTGCTAGGTTTCTTGCAAATTATCATGTAATTTAATTATAATGTAATTTCCCCTTCTCTCCCATCCTGTTCTAGTCCTGGTTTTCTTCAGTTTATCTTGTAGTGAAATAGGGGCAGGGCAAACTCCATGGGTAATTTAAAAGTTTACTCTGACATTTGAAGATAGCTCTGCATATTCATGCTGGCAGAGCATAAATCAAAGAAACACAGCCTGCTGTGTTAGAACACCTGTGTCAGGTGGGTCTGTCTGGCATTGGGATCAACCTTCTTTTACAAAAGAAAGCACTTTTTTTTTTGCTTTAGGCAGAAGAAAGTTTCTCTAGCATACCTGTTTAGCCTATGGGCACTAATAACAATACCCAGCTGTCTGGTTCCTCTTGACTACTTGCCACCTTTCCACAGCCTAGTGAAAAGATGGGAAGAAAATAATGTTTTTTTGTTTGTTCTTGTTCTTTTTACCCATTTCTCAGCTGTCTTTGTGCACTGGGCACATGATCTGTCTCTCCTCTGCCCTGCACCGGGATTTTTGCTTGGAATCAGCCTTCCCATTTACTGCTGGACAGGCTGGTTGTGTTCTGTGTTGACCCCTTGCACTGCTTCTTCTCTGGACCTCCCTTTCCTAACCTCTTTGCTTATGTAAGCTTTTAGCTTTGTAGGGTGGCCTTTGGCTCTCTTAAGAATTGACCCTTATCAGCCTGCTCTCTTTATAGATGTTTGGTTTTTTTTTCAGTCTGACTGATTCCCCTGTTTACCCTTCACTTAAAGTAGCAATTACTGTATGTATTACTAGAAACAGTTAAGGAGACAACAGAAAACTAAGATTAGAGCTGCTTGAAGAATTGTCTGTCACGTCTTAGTCCTTTAAATAGCCTTAGTACCTGGCAGATGAAAAATATGTTTTTAAACACTGTGTTCCAAGTCCCTGAAATGACTTAATCTCCAAATATATTCGTGTAAAAACTTCTATTCATAGAATGGGGAAAGAAATGCAGTTGCTTCACTACTAAAATTCTCTTCTTGCTAATGCTTTTCCTGTTCATGTGAGTAGTGTCTCTAGTACATCATGAAGATAGATATAGTGCATAGTGGTACAAAATCTAGATGGAGGCCAGTAAGAAGTGGTGTATGCCAGTGATTGGTACTGCTCAGCATCTTCCTTAGTGATCTGGGTGATGGGACAGAGTGTACCCTCTGCAGGTGTGCTGGTGATAACATCTAAGAACTGTGCTGCCATTCAGAGGGACCTCAACTGTCTGGAGAAATGGCTGACAGAACCTCATACAGTTCAACAAAGAGAAATGCAGAGTCCTGACCTAGGGAGGAGTAGCCTCACATATCAGTATATGTTGGGGCTGATTGATTGGAAAGCAGCTTTGCAGAAAAGGGCGTTGTGGACACCAAGCTGAACGTGAGCCAGCAATGTGCCATTATCCCAAAAAAAAAAAAAGGCAACTGTCCCCTGAGCTGCATCAGGATGAGTATTGCCATCAGGTTTGGATAGATAATTCTTCTCTGCTCAGCAGTGGTAAGGCCATACCTGGAGTGCTGGGTCCAGTTCTGAGCTCCCCAATAGAAAAGACATCTAGTGGTACTGAAGAGATTGTGGCAAAGGGCTGTGATTAAGGTGATTAAGGGACTGGAGCATCTCTCACATGAGGAATGGCTGGGAGAGCTGGGACTGCCGTCTGGAGAAGAGAAGGTGCAAGGAGGAAAACTTATGAATGCCTACAAATATTTGAAGGAAGGGTGTAAAGAAAACGGAGCCAGGCTCTTTTCAGTGGTGCCCAGGGACAGGACTAGAGGGAATGGGCACAAACTGGAACTCAGAAGGTTCCCTCTGAACAGCAGGAGACACTTTTTAACTATGAGGGTGGGTGAGCGCTGGCATAGGTTGCTCAGAGTGGTTGTAAAATCTCCGTCCTCAGAAAGACTTAAAAGTCATCCGGGATGAATTCTGGGCAGCTGGCTTTAGGTGATGGTCTTTGAGCAGGGGGGTTGGACAAGATGACCTCCAGAGGTCTCTTCCAACCTCAGCCATCCTCTGATACTCTGTAAGAAACAGTTTTTGCTGTTCTTGCTGGAATACTAGGAGAGAACAGCTTTGTGGATGTTGAATGACACAGATTATTCAACAGTCTGGTAAAATGGATAAAAAATGCCTTAAAATAACTGGGTAACTGTTATGTCAAAAAGTGATTGGTGGAGAAAGTTTAGTTCTTGGAAAAAGTTTGGGTTTGCTTTTTGTATTCAAATGTGACATAACTCTTCATAAAAATAACTTCTTTATGTTATGTTTTACAGTAGTGAATAAAGTGGGGGCACTTAATTTGAAATCGAACTAGCTGCTTAATCACAAATATGTTACTTATAGCTTTTTAAAAGAGCATTAGGTATTGTGCTGCTATTACATTGCTTTTCTTGCGGTTCCATTATCATAGCACGCGTACTAAGTATTTTGTGTAAGATCATCTAGAATTAGATCAAATTCTCTATTTTGCAGCTGTTGTGGTGTGATACACAAAATGAATCGTTGTGAGGAAGTAGTAACCAAATTGTAATTTCTTGCTATAAACTCGCAGAACTGGTTGCTACACACACTGGAGAAGGGTCTGGGGAATAAAAATGTTGCAGGTTTCTCAGTAGTTTTAAGTGTTTACAAGTTTATCCCTTAAAACTTTTTAAGTAGTTCTGGGAACTTTGACTCATGATTTGTTGAATTATTTTCACTTGTAATACTGTAGTAGTGATTTGATCAGTATGAATAGAGATCTGATGTGATCAGGTCCCATTTTAGGGAAGGCTGAATTAGAGTTCTAGGGATCTGTTGTTTTTCTTTTTTATTGGTGTGTTTGTTGTTTTTTTTTTTTTTTTTGTGGAAAGCATTTTGCCATGCTCTTTCTTCTTCGGGACAGCAGGATTAAAACCCAGCTAATGAAGAATGCTTTTAACAGCAGTCCAAGCAGAACTCTTGAGCAGTCTAGTGCTCCTCCTTCCTGTTCATTTCACAGTTGAGATTGGTACTAATATGACTAGGTGATAGGGATTGTGTATCTTATAAAGGATTGCATACCTGTGGTGTTTTTGTCTTTAAACCTGTGATGCACTGAGTTTTAGTGCTCCTACTGTGTATTGCCACCTCCAGAATTAGTTGCCCAGAAAGACAGTTTAGAAAACTTTTTGCGGCCTTTTGAATCTTTAGGTGGAAAACAAAATCCATAGTAGCCCATAATCCTTTGCAGTTGCTAAGTCATGCTATCTTCTATAGTTACTTTCAATAAGATTTGTATAGATTTGCTTCTGAGCCAGGGTAAGGAAGTACTTTTCTGAATTTTCTGTCAAGACTCAGCTATGTTGGAACTCTACACTGAGAGAATTATAGATGATTTCTAAAAGAGTAACATGAGAATATTTAGCTGTAAGGTTTTGTCTTGGTAAAACTCCATTTAGTTCTCATGCCACTTTTCAGTATGTTAAAATTAGTGTTGCTCTCCACAGTAGAGCTGAACTTGATGGAAAACTATCAAATTAAATTGTGACAATGTTGTCTTGATGTTTCAGTATTGGGTAGGAAATACTTACTCATGTTTGTTTGTTTCCTTTGCCTCCTTTCTTCTCCACCATAGAAATCCGCTATGCAACTGTGTACTGGAATAGAGCTGCAAAAACACTTCAGGTCAGGAATATGCTGGATAGGCATGGAGATGCTTATGGTTTCTACAACAACTCTATACAGACAACAGGTTGGGGAGTTCTGGAGATCAGAGCAGGCTATGGCGGTCAGACCTTAAGCAATGAAGATATCATGTATGCAGCTGGCTTTTTGGAAGGCTATCTCACAGCTCCGTAAGTACCTCAGGAAGCAACTTAACTTATGACACTTCCAGTGGATTTCTGTACTTGTGAGTTGTTTGTTTGTTTTTCATTTCACTTAATTCCCATCCATTTAAACTAACCATACATTTTGCAGTTGTGTGCTATTCTTTTAATTAGTAGCTAGTATGAAGTATAGCTTTTCATTTTGGCATCAGGATGTACCCTCTTCTCATACTGCAAGCTCTCCTAACACCTTGGTGAGATAGAGTACTGTGTCAGTGTTACTGATTAAATAACAATCAAAGAATAGTGTATGTGTAAGAAAGTGCCTAAGCCCTATGTTGCTAGCAAAGGCTACAGGGCTTCCTTAAGGACCTTTTTCAGCAAACACTGTCAAGAAACTACTGGGAGCAGCTACTGAATCTTCATAGCATAAGGAATTTAGTCTCTTTTGGATAAATAAGAATAATTTAAAAAAAATACTGATAAGCCTGAAGGCAGGCTGATGTGTGTCTAGAAGGTTCACGTTATTACTGAAAGCCCTTTGGAGAGAATATGAGGAACTGAATCTCTCCCACACTGCAGATCTATGAAACTGACAGAATTTTGTACTTCTTATGAATCCAGAGCAGTTTTTTAAAGAACAAAAAAAAACCCCAAACCCACAACCAACCTACCAACCCATCCTTCCCCCCCTCCAAACTCTAAGCAACAACCAACCCCCAAAAATAACCCCAAACCCAAACCTTGTTTGTTCCTTGACAAAATAAGAAGACAGAATGGCTTCTTATATATTATGACATACTAACTGGTAGGATACAGATGGTGATACAGCTAAGAACATGATGCATGACTTGTTGAACAAGCTCCATCTTCTCCTCTGTCAACTTAGTCACAGGAAAAAAAATACTCCCAAATTCTGATGCATGGCTGGGGAATAGTTGGAAGATGCTTGCTGTGGCTTCACCAGCTTTGCTTCCAGAACACTGAAATAAATACCTATAGGCTGTGTTGAACAGGTCAGCAGAGGAAGGTTTTCTGTTGAACAGTTGCTAGATATGGCTGCTGGATAAGATGATGTTAATTACTAAGACATTTTAAGATCAGTTAAGGTTTATGGATAGCTCTGATCATATGATAATATGACTGTCTAGGAGACTTTGCTGAAGAGGAAGCTAGGTCTCTGGAGAGTGTAAAGGAACTTCACTAAAGTAATATTTGTCAATAACAAAACAGTTCTGGGAGAAAGAGTAAAGGAATGGTAAAGTTCAGAGTGTACAACCTGTACTACAGGAAGGAAAGGAAATTAAGTACATGAGAGATCTGGATGCATGCTGTTGGATTATTTTGCAGTAGAGGTTACTGTTATGTGCTATTCAGTCAGTTTGTGTAAACTGCGTGTGGATTTTAGGGGTGCTAGGATTACATTTAGAATATTGTTAAAATTGGGTATTGGTCAGCAGACTTTTTCACAAGGTTTTATCTAGGTACTCATCTCTAAGTGGTTAAGCTTAAGCTTTGTCATACTATAAAGCGCCCAATCTGTGCTAAGCCCAATTAGATAGCAGTTAGTGTTCTAGTAGCAACAGCCCACACCCTGTTCTCCTTCTGCCTCTGAAGTAGATTTATAAGTCTTCCTGGCTTTAAAAAAAAACTTCAGTATATGCCCATTCCTTTAATCATGGCTTGAATGTGAAACAGTGTCTTCAGGGACTTTATCTGATCTCTTAGTTTATGCTTAGGTGTAGGGGGGGAGATTTTCACCTTTGTTTATTCCAGAGGTGTCAAGTGAAGATTCACAAGTTATTCAGGTCAAGGCTTTTGCCTTCTCTAGGTGCTTACTGAGGTTGTTTCCTAGCCCTAGCTGTGTTACTGTAGGGCTACCAGCTCCAGCACTGACTAGTCCTTTCAAGAGAAGTGAATGTAACAGAAAAGGTAATGAACAGAGATTTTAAACTCTATGGATGTGAAGTTGAGGGTTTGTATCAATGTGGAAAAGTAGGCTTTGAGGCTTTTGACTTTTAAGCAAAGTGGGAAATTCAACTGTTTTAAAGGTGTTTAAGTGTGAGAGAGTTAAGATGCAAAACCAGAAGTAGCCAAAGCCTTTCTTTTCAGAGGAAACTTTTTTGAGAAAATCCACTGAGAAATCCTCTGACAGTGTGTCCTGGGTTCAGCAGGAGCAGTCATTTTTTCTCCTTAGTAGTTGGTACAGTGCTATGTTTTTTGACTTTTGGCCTGGAAACAGCATTGATAACACCGATGCTTTTAGTTACTGCTCAAATGTTTAGTCTGACCAAGGACTTTCTGAGTCTCATGCCCTGCCAGGGAGGAGGGGAAGCCAGGAGGAAGCAGAGACAGGACACCTGACCCAAACTAGCCAAAGCGGTATTTCATACCACAGCACGTCATGCCCAGGATGTAAATGGGGAGTTACCTGGAAGGGCTAGTTCTCTGCTCGGTTGGGCTGGGTATTATTGGTTGGTGGATGGTATTGTATTCTCTTCCCTTGTTATTTCCCTTATCATTTTGGTTCGGTTGATACGCTGGAGGGAAGGGATGCCATCCAGAGGGACCTTGACACACTTGTGAGGTGGGCTGATGCCAACCTCATGAGGTTTAACCATGACAAGTGCAAGGTCCTACACCTGGGTCGGAGCAATTCCAGGCACAGCTACAGGTTGGGCAGAGAAGAGATTCAGAGCAGCCCTGAGGAGAAGGACTTGGGGGTGCTGGTTGATGAGAAAATGAACATGAGCTGGCAGTGTGTACCTGCAGCCAAGAAAGCCAACCGTATCCTGGGCCGCATCAAAAGGAGCGTGACCAGCAGGTCAAAGGAGGTTATCCTGCCCCTCTACTCTGCTCTTGCAAGACCTCGCCTGGAGTATTGTGTGCAGTTCTGGTGTCCTCAACATAAAAAGGACATGGAACTGTTGGAACAAGTCCAGAGAAGGGCCATGAGGATGATCAGGGGACTGGAGCACCTCCCGTATGAAGACAGGCTGAGGAAGTTGGAGCTGTTCAGCCTGGAGAAGAGAAGGCTGCGTGGAGACCTCATAGCAGCCTTCCAGTATCTGAAGGGAGCCTATAGGGATGCTGGCGAGGGACTCTTCATTAGGGACTGTAGTGACAGGACAAGGGGTAACGGGTTAAAACTTAAACAGGGGAAGTTTAGGTTGGATATAAGAAGGAAGCTCTTTACTGTGAGGGTGGTGAGGCACTGGAATAGGTTGCCCAGGGAGGTTGTGAATGCTCCATCCCTTGTGGTGTTCAAGGCCAGGTTGGACGAGGCCTTGGGTGATATGATTTAGCGTTAGGTGTCCCGGCCCACGGCAGGGGGGTTGGAACTAGATGATCTTAAGGTCCTTTCCAACTCTAACGATTCTATGATTCTATGATTATTATTATTGGTGGTAGCAGTAGTGGTTTCTATTATACCTCAGTTACTGGACTGTTCTTATCTCAATCTGTGGGAGTTACATTCTTTCGATTCTCTTCCCCATTCCTCCTGGAGTGGAGGGAGGAAAGGGGTAGGAGTGAGAGAGCGACTGCGTGATTTGTGACTGAGCTTAAACCACGACACAGTGCAAACCTGAAAATGCTTACCATCACAAAAATGACTATCAGATAATACGCATGCCATCTGAATTTGGTTTTTAGCTATGTCTTTGCCCCGTTATATATCTGTAACTGCAATGAAAGCATATTCCTCACTGGGAGTCATGAATATAAGCTTTTTCTGTCAGGTCTTGTAAAGCTATTTTGGCTAAAGATGGCTTCTCCTGAGGCTAAGAAAACATATTGAAAATGCTCCAGTTGAGGAACAGAGATTGGTTAGTGATGTACCAACCTGACCCTTGAGAAGAACCTATTACTTCAGGTTTTAGCTGCAGGACCTTTGTCATTTTTTTTTATTCAGCAAACTGCAACTAATGAATCCTCTTACACAGTGTGTTTGCAATTTCCTGAACTGTGGGAGTAGTGAGAACACACTAAGTTTGCAGATGTTAAGATTGCTCTCGGAGCTCCAGTTCTCCTTTATCTTGCCTAGAGAGTCACGGAAACATAATTAACATGCAGGCAGATGTTCGTTCTTTGGGACAGTTATACAAGTCTTCTGAAGTAAAACTGAGAAACAGGGTTTCCCAATCCATAACTCTATTCCCAACAGACTGCCTGGCACATTCAGCCTGTCTTCAGGGAAGCTGTCTAGCATTTTTATCACAACTTCTCTTATGAGAAGTCTCTAAACACTCTCGTTCTGCTTTTGCACACATCAGTGCCTGCAGTAGCTGCATACAGCTCAAGCTTCCTTTTTAAGGACTGGGTAACAACAAAGAAGAGTGTAACAATGCTTTATTTGCATCAACAACCACTTAGCTACCAGAGTGAAAACTTGTGTCGCTTGCCTGTACAAGCACCAACCATCTCCCGTGGCTCAGGCAAAGCCTACCAGTGTGAAAATGTTGGGTATGCCTGATAATTAAAGTGCACTTTAGCACAGTGTTACCTGTAGCCTGAACAACTCCAGGATCTCCAGCTGTCTTGCATCCATTTGTGGTAATGACTCCATGAAGTAGAAATGACCCAGGGTGGCTCTTTGCAGAAACCGTGAAGTCGTCCTGGGAAGAGCTCTGATGTGAAGCATTAATGGGAAGGATACATTGCATGCCTCATTGCAGGCTGAAGTATAAGTTCCTGCAGAAGCTGTTCGGTGAGCAGTAGCTCCAGCTTGGCAGTGCCTGCAATTTGAAGACCTTCATGAATGCTCAGCTATCTCACTTCTTGCATTACGCTTTAGACACAGCTAGGCGCCTTATCATGTAAGCAAAAGAGTGACAAAGTATCTAAGTGTACACTTTGTCCCTGGTAGGAACCTAAGCAGAATGTAAACCAAACAGATAAAAAATAGCAAAGTATGAGACACGTGAGACTATTCCACCTTGGATTCCTGGGGAAGGATTAATCTCAGCTCTAGCTGTATAAATCTGTGATAGAAAAAACAGTAGCTAAACTGGTCAGTCCTATTTACCAGTGACCAGAGAAACACAAGCCTTTTCTAAAGCATGAGTCATCTTTCTAGTGTTAGTACCTGGTTAAGATAGTAGCTATTTGAAAACAGATAGTTAGGGGTTGGATAAATCTAATTCTAGTGTTTGTTGTGTCTGGAGATCCAGACGTTTGTTTAGCCCTATCATCCAACCGAAGATGATTGCTCTCTTTTTTTGAGTATGAATTATCTTCTCCCATTGCAAACGGGGAAGTGTTAATGAGGCCTGATTTTACTCAGGCTATGGTAGAGCACATCCAAATCTGTGACATTACTTTTAATCTCTTCCAGTTGGGGCATGCCAGGTGTCCAATAGCAGTATTTGAATTTGTAGCAAAGTTAATTTTCCTGTCTTCTGGCATAACCTCAGCTGACCTGAGTCTTGTCATCTTCCTCTCTAATTTGAAGAAGCAGTGCTCTGCTTTGCTGGTTTTAGACTTTGAAATCTTGTCTCAGCTTTGTAATTGCCTTGCATTTGGCTTTAGATACAGTTGCAAAGCCTTACCTTGCTATAATGGCCCAATTTACTTCAGAGGAAAATAGCCTTACAAAAGATGCAAGCCATGTGCACAGAAGCTTTGTTACAGCAAAAAAAAATTAAACACAGCAACTAGGGGAAAAATTCTCAATAATTTTAAGGATTTAAATAGAAAAATCAATTCCAGGAATCGTCTGTCTTCTGTTAGCATATACAAGATGGAAAGCCATTAAAGAAGCCGTTTTCAGTCCACTGATTCTGGACTAACCCCATCTCCACATCCATCATCAGAGCTTAAAGATGCTACTAAAATCTACCTTGTGTTGCATAACCTTTGAGGGCAAAATGAGAGTAGAGCTGATGGTTGAGCCTGGAAGCCTGATCATCTGTCCTGGCCTAGGCAGTGATTAGAGTAGTATTCTGTGCAGTTTTTTTATCTTCCTCATCCAGTTCTCATCTCTAAAAGGCCATCTGCCAGATGGATTGTCTAGTGCTATTTGTTCCTCTTCTCTAGTACCATAAGAGCACTGACTTGTAGTATGGACTGTGTTAGGCTATAATTTCCTCCCTAAAATTACTTGGGATTTTTATTTGCCAAATTCACTGTGACTGTAGGGGTAGAGAATGTTGATCTGTCTCTTCAACTCTCTAGTCTTCAAGAAGTAGGTTGTGATCAAGAAGTAGGTTATGATCATGGCATTTTGTTCTGTGTTACATGGGAGACAGACAGCTCTAGAAGTAAAATCGATACTGTAGCTGCAGTTTCAAGAAAAGTATAATGGTGTGAAGCTGCTTAATGCTCCTCTCTTTTGCCCCAGCACCTCCCTCCACAGACCCAATGAGCCCCAGCTTGTGCCTGCTACTGATGGTCTATGCATCAGTTTGTCTACTAACACTGTCTTCTTGCACCAGCTCTGTTGCTTATCTATCTACATAACCACCTAATCCAAACTGGAAACTGACAGAAGAAGCATTCACTTTTTTTTTTCAGGGTTAGTGTTTAGCCTGAATTTATGCAGACAGAGTTGGTTGTCAGAATGGTATCAGAGCTAAGAACCAGCAGGGTCATATGCAATCAAGTACTCAAAACACCAGCTGGGAATGGGGCAATGGACAGAAAGAGAGGGAGAAGGTGGTTAGAGAATCAGTAATTAATTTTCTAATCATCAGCAAACCATTCAGTCATCTGTGGCTGTATTCTCAAATTACAGCCTGAGGGAAACTGGGAAAAGCTTATTCTGCATCCTTCCTAGAGGAAGTTGTCTTCATGAGTTTTAATATGAGGAATTCTGTCCTCCTGGCATGTGCTTTCCTTTAGGCTGGTATCTGTTTTAGTTCTGTTTTCTTTCAGCATTTGGTAGGAGCTAATTTTACTAATGACTGATGTAGTTCTAGCAACTCCAGACCTCGGGGAAATAAATTTCTGCTGATTTCCACCTAGAATTAAGTAGTCCTCCTTTTTTGTTTGTTAAGCTTGACCCCCAGTAAGAAATGCTGGAGTTCTGTTTTGGCTTGAATCAAATGATTGCACTTCACCTAAATGGAAGGGTGATTTTAACTTCTGGGCTCCTGAGCCATTTTTGGCAGTTGGTTTCATCTTGAAATGTAAAATACTTCACTTCAACAAAATGAAGAAAAAGCCCCAACCAACCACAAAAAAAAACAAAACCCAAACAAAACCTTTACAACTTTTGTTTCTATTAGTTAATAGGGATGACATAGCTAACTGAATTCAACAACAGCAAAAGCCCCACAGAAATTTTGGTCTCCATAAGGCTGAATCTCTTTAGGGCTGGCGTGACTGGGAGTTTCTGTGGGAACATAAAAGATTAACTTATACACACTTTAAAATGGAGATATTTAGCTTAATCAGAAAGGAAGGAACATGGTTAATGGTAAGTAAAGCCTGCTAGATACCAGGCTGAAATTCTCTCTCAACTGAATGAGCAGATTATATTCTCATCACCTCTGTGTTTGGTTTGTTGTTTTGGGTTTGTTTTGGTTTTTGGGTTTTTTTTTTCCTGGTAGGATAGTTCTCCAGTAAACTATTTCTATTTCAAATCTTCTGTTGCTTTGAAGATGCTTCTGTCCTACAAATACTTCCTGAATGGGAATTTAGCTATAAAGTAGTTCAATCTCATTCTTGCTTATCTTGCTATTAACAAGGTTGTTTATTTTAAGTTAAACAATCCATTTGTGTTGCCTTTGCTGTTTTGTTGCTTTCAGTCATGCACTGAAGTAACTTCTGTGATCTGGAAAAGTTTACATTATGCACTGTGGCATTTGTCTTTCAATGCTTATTGATCAGTGGGTTGGTAAGCAAAATGAAGGGAGATTCAAAAGAATAACTTCCGCTACTTTTATTCTTTCAGGCACATGTATGACCATGCTGCAAATATGTATCCACAGTTAATTAAGAATCCCATCGTTCGAAGTGGAGTTCAGAATTTCATGGCGTATGTATTTAGTTATTAGAAAAGAAAATACTCAAAACTTGGGTTTGGAGTGTGACAGTTTTTAAAGGGTATTTAATCTCTTCCTTATGGGCCTAAGAAAATACATACTTCCTTTCCCTCTGCTTGAATGCTGTTAGTATAAGAAAAGGAAATATATGATGAAGGGCATAAATATCCATGCCTAATTCTGTTTCTTTCAAAGAAATGTTTAAAACCATTGCTACAGGGATGTGTAGATAATGCCAACGAATTCTGAAGGTCATGCTAGTCAAAATGCTTTTTCTAAAAGCTGGTATTTTGAATGTTACACTGAACAGTGTGGTCTCCAGGTTCCTGAAACTTTTTAGCATTGTGTATCCTTTTCACCCTCCGTTAGGTTAGCATTTTGTTTATTCTACTGCTGATGTAAATTCTGTTCTAATCGCAAAGGTCCTGATTCCCTTTTCTCTTCAGCTCTGTAAACCAAAAGTAATTATTCTCAAATAATGCACTTACACTGGTGTGAAACTACAAGTGGGAGGAGAGCTAGGTCAGGTACTGGGAAACTCAACTGTGATTACCAGTTATGTAAATCTCTTTGACTTAATGTTTTCTTCCATTACAAATACTTCTGTGAAACTTTGGTTGGTTCTGGGGACTATTTTTACCATCTTTCTCTTGTCTTGTGCTTTCCATGAGGGGTTATATATCTGACTAATTCTGTTATTGGTACACATATATAGAGTTGATTGGTTTTAGCTTATCCAAAAAGAAGAGGAAAAAAATCTTAGCAATCCATTGCCATCGTTTTTCGACATTGTTGTCCTCCTCGTGAAAGAAATGGAATAGCTACCGTATCAGTGTGTACAGGTTTTTTCCAGACTGACTCAGCATGGTAGCTGTATCCCCCAAGATGCATTGTTGGATGGATAGGGGTAATACTAGGTGACCCTCTATATTTTTGGTATTGGTTATATCCTTGACTCCTCTATCACTGGTTTACTTAATGGCAATTTTGCAATATGAGCTGGTGCGTTGTCCTTAAAGGTGTTAGCCCCGAATTCTCTGAGCATATCCATTTCCTCTGACGTACTTCCTGTGTCTTGTTACTTCTAGAAGGTTGAATCTGGCTGGTTTTATCACCCATATACTGCTGGAAGAGTCTGATTCCTTGCCAGGTTCATTATTTCTTTTTTTACTGCTGTGCATAATACTGGATGGATAAATATAGGAGGATGGAAGAGGCGTGAATCTGTCCTGACTTAGTCTAACACCTGTGGTTCTTCTTTGGCCCTTTGCTCACAGCAAAGGAGAGAACTTTAGGAGATCCTTATAATGTGGGCTGCTCTTGCCCTAAGGTCTGTTCACCTCTTGTTGCCTTGTGCTCTAAATCTCGGTTATTTAGCTAGTAACCTCTTGATTGGATTTGGCACATGGGATGGTTGCGTTTGGTCTCCCACCTTTTCCTCAGAGGCATAGCAGTGGGTCTTAGGCAGTGTTTGAGCACCACCAGCCAAAAGCCTTCATTGCACTTGTACCTAGGGGAGAGAAATAGCCTCTTCAAAGGTCAGGCTCATTTTGTCTTTAAATAGGCATTTGAAAGGGAATACCTATCAAATGCTGGTTTCCCTTTGCTGACTATATGGGGATGTTAGATCTAATGTAGCAGAGCCACCCACAGAGGTGGAGTCCAACTCCTTGATACTAAAGTCTAGTAGATACACACTGCTGTAGAGTATGTTATATAGATCTGAACATTTACACCCAGAGGATATAACATATAATGTCTGCAGAGTTTCCAAAGCATGATTTGCCTCAAAACACTAGGAAGGTTGGATCATTTGTCCCTTCCCTGCATTATCAATTGTACCCTAAAACAAAAACAAGAAAACCCCAACCTGTTTGTTCCTCTGCAGGAGACAAGATCAATGGACGAGACAACAAATCAGAAATAATAAGGATGACCCATTTTGGAGGCATGCTGGCTATATTATTGCACAGCTGGATGGTCTGTACATGGGAGCCCTCGAGTGGGCTAAACTACACAAACAAACAGTAAGATTACTGCATCTCTCTTTCAGTAGCTGGGGATGGAATGTCAGAGGACAAAGATGGGAGAATGGAATCGGATATTAAAAAAAGGAGAATAATCAGAATAATTAGTAGCAAGTACCCATTCTGCATACCATTCTACAAAAACTTCCATGATTGTTCAGTTAGATAATGTGACTGAGCACTTGTCACCACAAAGTCATGACGCCACAGATCCTTTGCACTGGACTTGGAACCCGGGTGCTCATGTGCCGATTAGATTGGTGATGGCTTTTGTATCAGCGTGTGAATGTTGGAAGGACAGACAGAGTGGCTGTCATTTTAAAATTGTTATAAAGCAAATGGCCCTCTAGGTATAAAGTGTAGCTGCAACAGCATGAATTGGCATGTAGGGAGTGTGTTTCTTAAAATTCTTATTTCCAAGCATCGCATTTCAAACCTTAAAAGCCTCTCTATTTTGGGGTATGTTTTACATTGTTAAATGTCTTCTCCTTTTTTGTCTTCTAAGTTTTGGTGGCTGTTGTGTGGTTTGTTGTTTTTTTTTTGTGTGTGTGTGTGTGTTTGTTTGGTGGTGCTTGTTTGTTGTTTTTTTTCTCCATTCAGTTAGAATTCTGTTCTGGATCATCAGCTTGTGTGTAAAAGCAGAGCTTCCTTAACTCGCATAGAGCTATAGTAATTACAATGCCGTCCTTAAGTCTAATGTCTGATAGATTTCTCAATGTGAGAGGGAGGGACTGAGTAATTGTAGTTGACCGTTTTTGTCTTGGTTAAACCATATCATTTGGAGAAGTTGGAAGTCCTAAATTGTAAACAATTGGGGTTTAGTAAAAAGCACATTTCTTTCTTGTGCAGAACTTGCTCTGGGGCTTCCCTAATGGCAGGGGGGGAAGTGTTCACAATAATGGAAAACTCCATCATGATGGGCCTGACTTAGGGAAGATAGTAAGAAACCTTGACTTTCTAGGAAAAAAAAAAACTCATTAATTTTCTTTCACACCACCTGTATCTGAAGAGCCCTTCAAAGCTTATCAGTTTTTTTTTGGCTTCTTCATAATCTAACTTCAGATGGGGAAGCATAATTTGCTAGTTTGTGTCTGAGCTGTTTCTTTATAATAGGCATGCCTTACCTGCAACATGTATTCCCTGATACTTATTTAATTGTGTATTTGATACTTAAAATCACTGACCTCTGAAGTGACTGGGTCATTTTTATTCTCTTGTGTCCTCTATTCTTGAATTATGTAAAGTGGATATATTTGTTTCGTTTCCCAAAAGTGCCTGGAGCAGGTGGTGGGATTTATTTTGACTCCTTATTCTGTTCATGGTTTCAGCTTTGGACATTATCACCTATGTTGAGATCCATATCTTACTCAAAGCAATAATGTCCCTTGTGTATATATTTCTGACTTGAGGTGGTGCTGCGGTTTCCTGTTTGCCAGGGCCGGAAAGTCAACACCAGTCTTTTACCTCTTGAGTAGAGTTTGAACAGCTGCTCTTGCACCTTGGTGGTTGGTTTTCCTTGGCATCAAAATGATACCCGACAGCTCTGCAAAAGAACATGCAGTTCACTTTGTTGGATACTATGCTACTTTTCAAATACTTTGGAGACATTAGGCTACAGCAATGCTATTTGTGTACATATTTACTGCTGTTAGCATCCCCTTAGGGAAATAAACACCTTGAAGATTCTTCCTCTGAGCTTACACTGACAATAAAATCAGGTGCAGATGCAGTGTTGCTGACTAGTATTCTAGCTTTGATACACCCATTTATCTGCAAATCAACCCAGCTTCTGTAAACTGTTGGTACTTGAAAAACTAAACGACCAACCAACACCCACCCCCCTTACCCTCTCGAGAGAGGACCAACAGGATCTTCCTTATTCCTTGTGATTAAAGAACATCTACTCTCCAAAGAGGCTGTTTTCAACTTTGCCCTTGCAGTACATGTTAAAAAGGTTCTTTACTTTAATCCCTTAGATTGTTAGTAAGTGGAATGTTTGGCAAATGAATTCACTTCATAGATGATTTTTTTTTCCTTTATTTCTAAGCATTATAGTTTGGTTCAATTAATCCAGTGTTGTTCTGAACTTAACATTGTGCAACAGCTGCAATAACAAGTATTTACTATTTCCATTACTCATTTCTCAACTTAAAAAAAAAAAAAAAGAAAAAGAAAGATCTCTTTACTGGAAGCTCCCACAACAAATTCTGCATGTCTTAAAAAGCAAATTGCATTCCTATTACATTTTTTCCCTAGAGGTCTGAGAGTCGTGTCTTCCTTCTTTCCTTTGATGGATACTACTGTTGTTTCATGTAAACCAAAAAAAAAATCCTTTCTGTATATGTATTGGTTTAGGACTATTATCGGTTTCTCTTTTGATCTCTATTGGTGCAGTAGTTTGGATTCATGGTGGTGATAAACATTAGAAATACTGATAATATCTCAAGTGTGGGTTGTGGTATTTTTATTTTTTTCATACACCTCCTCCCCACACAAAAAAAAAAACAACACAAAACCCCAGTCAAAACCAAACCTAAAACCAAGATGTGACAGGCTGTGTTGTTTTGTTGCCTGATGTTCTAACTGCTATTGGGAAAAACTGTGTGTACTTCTAAATTCAAGTGATCATCTTTTAAGTGCAGAGGGCAGTTTCTCCCAACTGCCCTAAGCTTCAAAGAAAATTAAACACTGCAGAAGAAAGGCTGAGAAGTCTTCTTCCTTAACTCCCAAAAGATCAGAGGCATGGGGAGGAAGAAGAGGGGTGAAGATAGATTTCTAAGTTCTTGCATTTCCCCACCCGCTCTACCCTCATGTTCATACATGGACAAAGTGTTCTGAACACTGAGAAGTTGTTGGTTGACAAGGGTAGACAAAATTGCTAAAGGGGATGGAGAAAAGGAGCTGTGTTTACAAAGCCTGGAGCGCTGGGCAAAGTTGAATAAAATTGTTTTGTTTTCAGGAGAACGGAAACAAGCTGTTTCAATAGTAAATCTGCCTTTAATTTTACACGTTGCATATGTCAGGGTTTCTTATTGGCACTATGCGTACCTTTTCAAACTTGCAAGTAGTTGGAGTTCTAAATTTAATGAATTAGTTGATATGCACTTATTTGAGGAAGACAAGTGATGAAAAGATCTGACTTTTCATTGTCTTATATGCATGGTAGTGTAAAGCTATGCCAAGTCCACAAAAAGATTCAGTGAGAGCTGGGTTATGTGCATGCAGGTCACTCTGTGAGGCTCAATTTTTTCTTTTCTCCCCTAAACTTCAGGTCTACTTCACTTGAACATTGTGGAACCATTCTGTCTGCCGCAAACTTTTTCTTTGTGCAAAGAAAATTTGGTTTTGACTCTGAACTGTTCTACAGTAGTAGTAGTAGTATATATTTTTATTTGTACATGTATGCAAATGTTTTATAGTGTACTTTTTCGAACTTTTTAAATTGCATAGAGTCTAGTTTCTTGCAGGGCTATTTTAGGTTGGTGCTTCCATTAAGACATTCATGAAGGCAATCTATGTTGTAAACTTCTGTATTTTGAATTTGATATTTACAGGTATCATTAAGAATGATGTCAAAATCTGAATAGATTTCCATGTTAAACTGTGACATTATTCCATCTGGTTTAGCAACATTTCATATCCAGTAAACAAACCCAACCCTTTTGTCAAGACAATTTCGGAAGGAGGGGCACTCAAAGAACATTAAGCCTTTTCATCTGCCTAATGCTCTACCAACGCTGTGATTAATCTTGGGCTTGTCTACACAGAGGAATTACCTTTGAATAAGGAGGTGTCAGAGTTTTAAATACTACAATGGTTTTAGGACAGCTCTGCATTTGTACTTCTTTATTTTGTATTGGGAATGCTTATGTATGGGGAAGGTACTGGAAAATACTTGTTACAGAATAACTTGTCTATTTTAATATCCTATGTAGACAAGCCTTTAGCAGGCAAGGTTTGTTCCCTCCTATCTGCTACCCTTACAGCTGATGTAACTCAAACTCAATCTGTTTTTTTTTTTTTTCTTTATGCTATTCAGGATGGTACCCTAGAGGAGCCACACATTCTAGCAAAAGGACATTTTCCTTTTGTCGTGACTGTATTACCTCTCTGCTTGTCAATTTAGCTCATTCAGTCACTTTTCTTCAGGATGTAAACCATGCATGCAAGTTTTCCTGACATTGCTGTGTGAGATGGGAGAAGGTGATTACAAAAGATTGTAATTATGCTCCACATTATGCACTTATTATGATGCATACATTCCCCCCCCCCCCCCCCCCAGTAATTCTTGCTAGTGAGCCCTGATTAAGTCTTCATAGAAAAGATTTCTCCATGTATCCTGGAAATCAGCTGTAGTTATTTCCAAACTGGGGCTCTCAGCTTTGTGGCACATGCCTCAGGCCACTCCTGAAGTTCTCAGATTTGGCCTGCATTAGTGTCTTCCGTTTGAGTCCATAGTTTACTGAGACTCCAGAGAAGCTCTGTGCACTGTGCTTGTGTTATCTCACTGAGCATCAGACAATCTTAAACACAAAACCAGGTTTATCCAAGCAAAGCAATGAATTCCTGGAAATAAACTGCAACAAAACTTGCTTGCCCCTCAAAAGGGGAGTGAAAACAGAACCCTAGTGTATGCTTAACAACCTATTTCCTCTTACTTCTGTGATACTTCTTTCTTCTGGCTGGCTTTGGGAGCTGGCAGCCCAGTCTCACCTAGTAGAGCCCTAGGAATTTGCGTAGCTTTTTGCTTCTTTTTTTGAGTGGGTCTTTCCTCCAGCTCTCTGGCCACCTTTCTGTGCGTACAAATCTGATAGCTTCCTTGCTTGGCAAGGAAGTTTGGCTTTGATCTAGGTTGAATGAATTTCCTAGTAGCTACTGAATTTTTTTACTTGCAGTGACTGTAAGACAGCACAGAAATGTGAAGCTTTTTAAAAATATACAGGCAATTCCAAGTGATGCCAGAGCAATGTCGGTGTAACTACCGGTAGATGTTGCAATGAAGGCAGGTTTCACGGAGGAGAATATGTAGTGGTAGCAAACGCATGTCACGTAGAATTTGAATGTCGCAAGGCTGGCTGAGCATTCTCGTATGCAATCCTGTTTGCTCCTCTCCTGGTGGTACTGTACAGTAGTGCCTGTGTGAATTAGGTATTGGAAAACAGCTTCTCTTCATTGAGTGCAGCTGGATGGGGAAAAATTGTGATGAAACAGTGTTCAGGTCTCTCTCTATGGATTCCAGTGAGATAGCGGTTGTTGAGAATGGTTTGTAAATGGTTTATACCACTGAGTTGCTTAAATTATGTAAAGATATATCTCTTGCTATTTGTCAGTTGTGGCCTTTGCTGCTCCCAGTTTTGTTCCTGACAGCAAAAATATGATGAACTAAAGCAATGTAACATATATGAAAGTTGGGTTTGGATTTCTTTCTGAAACTATAGCTATTGTTAGGGCCTTCTGCAATGGACGATTTTTAGTTATGAGAATGGCTTATTTCTCTCAGTTGTTTGGTAAGCATTGCGGGAAGGTTTAATTGCTTCTCTGGGAATATATGGTCTAGAGTATACATTATTTTTGTTTTTCCTATTGTTCTGTCTTCTAAAACAGTAGATGGGTAACACAGAATTCAGCCTCCCATATAAAAAGTAAATGGATTTTGTGCTGTTTATTTTTTCCATTCCTTGTCTCTGCTTTGTTGGAGTTTGTAGAGAGGTCAGCTGTATGGTTTAATAATAGTGATTTATATTGCAAGCAATGTGTTTATTTACTATATGATTGTGGCCCATTCTAAAATTACCATTTATAGCCTTAAAGTGATGTATGCTCTGACTTTTTTTCCTTAATCCTTACCTTAACTAAAGGCATGATGCAAGCAAGAACAGGAAATATTTAGAAAACAGTCTTTGGAAGTTGAGATTAGACCACAAGTAAGCTCTTATTCTTGAAGAGGCAAATTAACAGAAGGTTCTGAAGAGCATGTTGCACAACAAGCTGTGTGCAGTTAGCCCTGGCTAGTTGCAACTGTAAGGGGTTTCGAAAGCATGTATTGGAGAGCCTTTTGACTGTCTTCTTTCTTCAGCTAATTTCATACTTTATGAATATTGTTAACATATCTTGCTTCTCTCATTTGTTTTCTCCTCAGTTCTGAGGATGTCTTAAATTGCAGTCTTTATAAAAATCCAGAAACTCCCAAGAGTGCTTGTTAATGTAAGGCTCTCCAAAGGCATACATAAACACCCCCCCCCCCCCCCCCCCAAAATCTTACTGCTTACTATTACCCCAGTATAACAGTAACAGCAGACTGATTGGTGTGCTGTTTGCAAAGACACACAGAACTTGCATAAGTTATAACTAGTGTCTCATTTTTTTCCCCTCAGAAATGTTAGCATTGGTAATGTCACTACAAGGGCCAGACCCTTAAAGATACCTAGATGCCTAATACCACACTAATACCCATGTGTATGTGGGCCTTGTGAGCAGGTATTTCCTAGACCATGTAAGAGCTTCCTTTGAGAGCAAAAGAAAAATTCTAACAGCTGAGACTGTCTTGATGCTTCTCTGTCTGAAAGTGCTTTTTGTGGTCTCTCTTTCCTCCCTTTCCTCAGCCACTGAGCATCTTTGATGTCCAGTTTCTGAATGCAGTTGGAGACCTGTTAGACCTCATTCCTGCATTATTTGAGTATTCTGCAAGGGGTGGACAATGCAATGTGGAGCCAGGAAGCCATGGGAAGTATCAGTGGGATATGGGTCACTGCTCTGCACTCATCAAGGTGAGCATCAAGAACTTCATCTCCAGTGACTATTGATTTACTGTGTCATGAGCCTGCATTTCTGGAGTCCTCATTGTTTCCGTTGCATGTGCATAAAGAGACTCCTGTCAAGGTGCTTTTATGCAGTTGTCACTTGTGCCTTTAACAGGATTTTGGGTCCAGTCTTGCTCATTTGTGTTCAAGGGCAGGCAAAAAATAAAACCAAACCAAACCCACAGAGATTGACAATGAAAAGCTACTAGAATTACTAGGGAATGGGGAAATACCATGGAGAGGAGACTGGAAGAAAATAAGTTGTTCTATCTAGCCAAGTGAAGTCTGAAAGGGGGTATTGTGAATGCCTACAAATCCATTGAGCAAGTTAAGCAGGGAGGAAGAGAAGAGGATTCCTTAAACTAAAGATCAGTGCTAGCGCAAGAATAAGTGGGTGCAATTGGCTGATATTTTCTGTTAACAGTGATATTCTGGAATGGCTTCCCAATGGGAGTAATGACAGAAAAAATACTTTTAAGATAAGTGTCTGATACATCTTAGTAGGAATTAAATTTTTCAATTAAAATCATCAAGGTTCCAGTCAGTATATGGAGACTCTATGTCTCCCAGAGCAACAATACTCAAATTAGGAAGCATTTGTTCAAGCATTTGCCTATCACAAGAGGTTTCTGAGCTAACAAGAAATCTTAGAAACAGGGAAATACTTTGAATAGAGCTATTATCGATAAGTATTTACCTTTTCAAATTAAATACGCTTGCATTTGCTTCCATACTTTAAAGTCACCCAGAGGCATTTTCACAGATATAGCGTGTTTTAATTTAATGTTGGGTATGTTTGCAGAGGGCTGATCTGAATATATAAATACAAGTATTCAAGAGGAAACTGGGGAAACAGAATACCATGTGATGCAGGTGTCCCAAAACACCTTAAGCTGTTTTGTTTTGAAAAATAGCAACTAATTATTTGAAAACAACACATGGGCAAGAATTATTTCCAGAAGTTTCAGAAATTCATTGTTAAGTACACTGTTAAAAGTGCAAGAATTTGCCCCTTCTTAAACAATACAATTAATCAAACTACTTAGAATCTGGGAAAACAACTTTTTTTATCAAGTACAAAACATGCAAAGCATAGTAGGGTCTGAAACTATTCCTCTTTCTGCTTCTTTTTCCAGGTTCTACCTGGATATGAGAATATATATTTTGCCCATTCCAGCTGGTTTACATATGCAGCCACACTGAGAATATACAAGCACTGGAACTTTAATATAGTTGATCCAGACACTAGGACTGGCCGTGTCTCATTCAGCAGTTACCCAGGTAAAGTCAAGAAAACTAAACCTATATCAATATCCAAGATATGGATATGGACCATCTTACTGTCTTGCAGATGTCTTGTCTATAAAATGGATGATACCTTAGCAAGCACTGGCTTCAATCTACCTTAAAACATTTAGCCATTGAGAGGAAGTTGATTGGCTTGAACATGATATCGTTGTCATCGTCTTTTGTTGTTGATTAATCACCTTCAGTGCTTCGAATAATACTTGTTAAATATTCTTCCTCTGGCACAAACATGCTCCTTTGAATTCTGCTCATGTCTGCCCTCATCTCAACTGCTGAACTCCTCACCTTGCCTATAGCATTCACATGTTCGGTAATAACAATTCTGAACACTTCTGTTTAGTGCTGTGGCATGATTCATGCTGTAATGGGATTATTAGAGAGTATCAAACAATAGCCATTTGAAATTGTATCGACTTCTTTGGTGTTGGGTTAGCAAATATTCAGTGTTGGTTTTTTTTTTATTTGGTTTCTCCCCCCACATCTGCCTCTTCCAGCTTCTCTAAAAGCTGTTGCAGAGGAGTATTTTTTTAATGCTTATTTTATGTGTTATCAGTGTAGCCAGCCAGAATGTTTAAAATCTCCCTTGGGAAGATCAGGCAGCACATAATATTCTCAAGTTTCCTGGAAGAAGGTTAGAAATTGCCAGCAGTTAATGTTTCAGTGGTAAAATATTTACTCTTGCTAGGGTAGCACCAAGAAACGAATATGAAAACCCAAAACGAATCTAAGGCTGAGTTAACATTGTATAAGTTTTTGAAGGTGGAATTTCAAATTCAAAAAAAAATACCCAAACACCCAAGAATTTTCATAAACTTTTTATAATGAAGTATGTGCTGTTGAAGACTGTCTCACTCTGATGAAATTTTATTGGCTGATAGTTTTAAAATGTGCTCTGTTGAATTACTGTGCCTGCCTTACTACAAAGGCAAGGATCCTTCATGGCAGAGAATTCTGGGACTGTGACTGAGAAATTGTTTTGAAAGGCAAAGTTGCTGTCATTTTATTTTGAATGCAAGTATTTCTGTGGGGTTTGGACCCTCCTCAGTGACCTTCAGAAATGCAGCATATTCTGACATCTGCAATTTTTGCTTTGAGGAAGGAGAAGAGGTATTCTGGTGAATTCCTTTGAGTGTACAGCCTCTCAAGAGCTTGGGTTATCTCCAGTTCCTTTGGAGGAGTTAAATTTACTCGTTGCAAGGAATTTTACCAAGCCTACATAACCTGACAGAAAGGTTCCTGTCTGAGCTCTGTTCATCGCCTGAATGTACAGAAGGTTATTCTGGATCTTGTATCTTTTATCAGAAATACTGTTGAGGATAGTGCTGTACTTCAGGAGGGCGTGTCTTGATTTAGCAACTGTTGCATGCTGCCTTGTGCTGCAGATTTAAAACTGGGTTTAACCATGAAGGGTGTTTTATTTCCTTGTTAGTGGGTGTTTGTGATGATGTCTGGGGGTTGTTCATTTTGTGGATTCTTTGTATAAGGTGAAATACAAGTCTTCTGTTTTAATGAGACTTATAAAGCATGCTGTATGGGAGGATACCTGAAAATCAGCTACTACTAAGCTGAAATGGTTGGTTCCCATTTGCTATTGTACAAAATCCCAGTGGGCTTCCCTGAGTGTCAAGTCTGAAGAGATGGTTTACTTAAAAGCTTGCCTGTGCTGGGTAGGCTCTGACACAGCAATGTGGTATGGTGTACTTCTACCAAGAAAACTGAGTTAGAACTATTACGAAACATAGTTCCCATGGCTACAGTGAAGTCTGAGACCTGTGGTATGCAAAGCGAACTCACTGGCCACCTAATTACAAGGTACTATCACAAAGCACTAGACAAGCATGACCCATTGACTACAGCAAATTGCACTAGCTGTGGGTGTAGTTCACAAGCTTGCAGCTTTCCAGAGGATGAGTAAGCTCTAAAGCGCTGGCCTGGTAACGATCTAGGGACATCACGCATGAGGGAGGAAACTGCCAAATTCCTTTGCTCCATGTTGTGATGAGATGAAGCCTTATATTTTCACAGCATCTGCCCATAGAATATGGAGGTCCTGGCCGTGGTTCCACTTGATGACTGTAACTTCTCTGCATGCAGTTTCCCGCTGTTTTTCTCTCTCCTGATAGACATTAAGAGCCAGTAAGAAAGGCTAAGCTAGTAAGCTCTCATAAATAGAAACACTATTCTAATGTACACAAAGTATTGACTTTTGGAGAAAACGGACAGCATTTTAAAAAAATGCCCTTCCAGTCCTTACCTGACAAATGAGTAATTCAAAGATTCTTACCATTCAGTAGACTGGATATGAAATAAAACTCTTCTGTTGTACAAAAGCTGTGTCAGAAAAGCTTCAAGGAGTCATTTGCCTTCTGAGAAGGAATGTGCCAACTACCTGATTTCTCCTGGGGTCACAGAGTAAAATGGTGCAGATTGTTTATTTACAGTATTTCAAACGACTGGCAACTACACTGCAAAAAATATTTGTTGTGACTCAGTTTAGAGGATCTAAGGCTATTCACTAACCATGATGCATGTCAGCACGTGCATTATGATACAACTACAGGGCCTTACACTTCCTTGCTTCTGCTGTGATTGAGCAGATAGCAGGAGAGGCAGGAATTGCAGAGCCCATCCAGGCTTCTGCAGCAGTTCCCCATGTTCCTGTCAGCATGCTGAAATGTCCACTGTTACAGCATGTCTTCTCTGATGCTTTCTCTGATGCTTTCTCCCTGTCAGAGTAACAGTAGTGCTGCAGAAGTACAGTTAAGTGGAAATGAATAGGCGTCGTAATCTCTGCTGTTGCAGAATGATTTAGCTGCTTGCTGCTTATTTCCACACTAATCCTAATCCTCACTTGAACTCTGCTCATAGTTTTAGTTTCCTCTTCAGTTGAAAGCATCTGTGCAGAGCTGCAGGTAGGACAGCTCTGTGAATCTCTGGAAAGGAAGTGTCTGAGCTGAATTCTTGGGCACCCCTGACTTCAGTGTCTCGTTTAAGTTCTGGACATAAGTACTTAATGTGGTTGGTGAATCTGTGCACAGCAGAGAGAATTTACATTGTACAGTTGCTCACAAATATTGAGTGTCATTTGGGGAGTGTAAGAAATGTGATGACAGAGACTTTAGGTGCTGGGTTTTGCAGGACATACCTAGAAAAAGATCAGAGAGAAACTCTCCCCCCCTTCCCTCACCCCCTCCTGGAGTCACTGCTCTACACAGCTCTACTTCAAAAAAATGAGCCCAGTTAACTGATTAAATTTGCAGTTTTCCTTGGACAGCAGGGATGTTGCAGCTCCCAAGATTTACATCCATTTGGCTGCACCTCTTCTTGAACAATTAGTTGTGAACTCCAGTTAAGGAAGGGAATCTACCATTTGGACCCAAGCACTCTGGTTTGCGTAGTGGCATACTTCCTCTGGGCTGAATTGCAGTCTTGTTATTCTTGATTTCAGCTGTTAAAGGAAACAGTTGAGAAGAACTTAATGACCACTTCTGTTTCTCTGGTCTGTTGCTTGGTTGAGACAGGTTATGGTTGAAACAGGCTATGACATGGGAACAAGATGGCACAAGTTGTCTTGATAAATTGGCTGTACATATTCTGCTAAGGCAGGAGAGAGAAGTAACCTGTCCCTTGAGCTGAAGTAATCTGGTGTTAGTACAGAATCAGGAAGTGCAGTGTTATCCTTCCCCAAAGCCTGAGTAAGAGCTAGGAGGGGCAAAACATGGAAAGGGTAGTAGGCCTTTCATTCTGGGGATCAGTTTGTTTATGAGATATTGGTACAACATTTCTTGCTTCTCTGCTTCCACCAACGTGTGTCTAAAACCTGGAGAGAAGCAGAGAAAAGTCGGGTGCGCTTTGGAAATGAGAGACCAGAGCTATAGTGTGGGATGTGCTATGTCTTAGTGCCTAGGAGAGGTCTGTAAGTGGAAGTAAGGCAGCTGGCAGGAGCACAGTATTGGCATGAGAAGCAGCTGTTTGTGAGACTAAGAAAACTAATCTAGAGAAGGGATCTTCTTTCCCATTCTCAAGTGTGTTTGCAGCCCAGAGCATTGATCCTCTCAGCTGGAGCTACTCTCATCCCTGTGAGGTGATTGGCAAAACCTCATGGCTCTGACTTCCAGCCTTGTTGTACTGACCCTTTCTGTACTTGAATGATCACAAGGGCCCCTTAAAACACCTAAAACCCTGATGTCATCTGGTTCAGAAACCAGCAGCATACCTTTTTAGGAACAGTAGCTGCCAGGAGTGTGTTACCCCCCACATACTCTTTAGTGTGCTGACTCTGGAGAACACTAACTCTGGAGAACACTGACTCAGATTTTAAAAAATATTTTGCTTTGCTTGGCTGATTAATATTGTCATGATGAATGAACCTGCGGACTCTGGAAAATTCAGTATTCCAATGGTGACTGGAAACAGAATCTAAATGGCTCAAACTCATTCTGAAGTGCTTTCAGAAGTCCTATTGCTTCTGTTTATGTAGGAAGAGTCAGGTTCATTGGAGGAAGGTTGGGGGGAGGTGGAGGCGAAGAGGTTAAAAAAAAATCATTGGGAGTGGCTGATAAAAATGGGAGATGGGTTTACAGAAAAAAATAGGTGAACTGTACAGTGAGATAGCAGTTGACATATAAAAGGCATTTTCAATTACAACAGATTCTCATACATACTTAAAAAGACAACAGTGCCACAAGAGAACATTAAATATGTGCTGATATCTCTAGGCTTCACCCAGGTTTTGTTTTCGTGGATGTCTTTGTCCTGGGCAAACCTGTTGTAGGTGTTTTAACTTCCCTTTGTTTAAGGAGTGCCTATGCCTTAAGTCAAAAAGGTATATGTTGGCTTGGAATAATTAGGCTAGTAATGGTGTATCATAGAGAGCACACTGTATTATAGAACATTGCAGGATAAAACTTGGTAACTACTAAGGCCCAGAAGGAAACCCTCTTGTTTTCAGCTTTGCTGAGTTTTGCAACTGAATTACGGAGTTCCAACTTCAGTTAATTCAGCATCGTTCCTTGTGTTTACACTTGCTTTGAATTGAGTTTTCCTCTTTTATCTCAGCTGATGATTGAAAAAGAAGAAAAAACTGTTTGATTTATTTTGAAGTAGGGCACTTGGCATTGGCACCCATGGGGGAATGGCATTCAATTCGGATCACAAGTGTTTAACGATTTAATTTCTTCCCTCTGGGTAAGCACTTGACTTTTTACACAATAGTTTATTGCTGCAGTATCCCGTGTCTTTCTATAAGATAGACTGGCAGAGACAGTTTAAGAGTGTTTCTTGCCCTTACTGTTTGGAAGAACTCTGCTGTTTATGTACGTAATTTATTGACACTCTTTTTCTGTCTCCAAGAATAAAATACTAGGAACCACAAGCTGCCAGGGTACTCTGCCTGTTCCGTACTGACCTATTTTTAGAGAACAGGTGACCACAAAGCTTATTTTCCTGGATCTGTTCTGATTTGAGAACTTGAGACTTAAAAGAAATCTTGCTGAAGCTGAGCCCTTAAACAGTACTTTTGCTTGAAGGAAATCTGTCTTTTGACGAAAGCCCATGAACTGGAGGCAGAGCTGAGTCATATTGCAGTCTGTCATATGTTGCTGACCTTTGTTTGCAGAGTGCATTAATAAAGCTTGCTGTAGAACATTTCGTAATGGCACTCAACTACTACCCTGATGTGCAGCATTTTAGCGTTTTGTACTCTTCAGACAGGGATACCATGAAAAACTCATTAGCAAGAGACCAGTTCTGGATGACTTCGTCATCAGGAGCTTAGTTAACAACAATTCTTCCCCAACCTGGCAGCCCTGTATCTGCTGGAGAATCTCAAAGTCAAGTTATTTCTGCTTTATAAATAGTCACCATGCTATCCATGGTATTACAGCTGACCTTTGCAGCTCTGTATACCACCTCTGGCTGCATGTCTGCAGCCAGATCTGCAACTGGGCCTAGGGCTTCTGTTGGCATGTAGTGTGGAAGCGAATATTGCCCAGAAGATTCATCACTGTGTTGAGTCTGCAGGGCTGGTAAGCATAAAAAAAAATCCCAATGACAACATGTCAGAAAGAGTAGGTGAAACTCTCAAATACAGGATGTGGTTTGTGGTTTATGATTTAAGAGGTGCCCATTTCTTGGAGATGTTTTATGGTTAGACTGGAAAACATTAAACTAGAAGGAAGACTTTTCTGCTTGTCTTGCTTTAATCCAGAAGGGATTAATTTAAAGGCGTATCTGTTGTCCTTGCCGAATAAAAATCTAAACCTGAAATTGGTTGATGAAAATCTCTGTGGAGTTGTCCTTTGATTTCCTCTGTTGTATTTTTAAAAGGAATTTCACTGTTGGAAACAAACACTCACTAGGCATTTACAGTATGTAATTCTCAGCAGAAGACATAGCTTGACATATGATGGAGAAACTTCTGATGACACCAAGCTGTGTGGTTTGGTTGATATTCTGGAGGGAAGGGATGCCATCCAGAGGGACCTTGACACACTTGTGAGATGGGCTGATGCCAATCTTATGAAGTTCAACCATGCCAAGCGCAAGGTCCTACACCTGGGTTGAAGCAATCCCAGGCACAGCTACAGGTTGGGCAGAGAAGAGATTCAGAGCAGCCCTGAGGAGAAGGACTTGGGGGTGTTGGTTGATGAGAAAATGAACATGAGCTGCCTGAAGGTGCAGTCACAGCCCAGAAAGCCAACCATATCCTGGGCTGCACCAAAAGGAGCATGACCAGCAGGTTGAATAAGGAGGTGATCCTGCCCCTCTACTCTGCTCTTGTGAGACCTCACTTGGAGTATTGTGTGCAGTTCTGGTGTCCTCAACATAAAAAGGACATGGAACTGTTGGAACAAGTCCAGAGGAGGGCCATGAGGATGATAAGGAGGCTGGAGCACCTCCTGTATGAAGACAGGCTGAGGAAGTTGGAGCTGTTCAGCCTGGAGAAGAGAAGGCTGCGTGGAGACCTCCTAACAGCCTTCCAGTATCTGAAGGGGGCCTGTAAGGATGCCAGGGAGGGACTCTTCATGAGAAACTGTAGTGATAGGACAAGGGGTAATGGGTTAAAACTTAAACAGGGGAAGTTTAGGTTGGATATAAGAAGGAAGCTCTTTACTGTGAGGGTGGTGAGGCACTGGAATGGGTTGCCCAGGGAAGTTGTGAATGCTCCATCCCTGGCAGTGTTCAAGGCCAGGTTGGACGGAGACTTGGGTGGCATGGTTTAGTGTGAGGTGTCCCTGCCCATGGCAGGGTGTTTGGAACTAGATGATCTTAAGGTCCTTTCCAACCCTAACTATTCTAAGTTTGGGATGAAAACATGAAGCAAATGTTCTTCACAAACAATTAGGCTGTGTTGAAAGCATGACAAATGAGAACCTGCTGACAGGTGGGCTTAAAGCACTTGCAGAAGTTGCCACCTCATCTTTAGTATTTGTACAGCTTGGTTTCAGACACACACACATGCTGACTCATTCATACCCTCTTAGCTTGTCACTCTCTTTTGTTCTATGAGTATATCAAAGGTTCACAAAAATAACAAATTTGTATTATTGCTGTTTAAGGCTTTTTGGTGTCCCTGGATGACTTTTACATACTAGGCAGTGGATTGGTAATGTTGCAGACTACCAACAGTGTGTTCAACCAAAGCCTCATTAAGCAAGTGGTGCCAGAATCCCTGTTAGCTTGGCAGAGGGTGCGCATTGCTAACATGATGGCAGATGATGGCAAATCTTGGGCAGAAACCTTCTCGAAGTGCAACTCAGGTGAGTACACTTTCACATGAGTCTTAGGAAACAGGACTTGTTCCCCCTTCCCTTTGTACTTTTTTCTTTCCGCAGGCAGGACAAATAATTCTCTCTTTGCTCTCATCCCTAGGGACCTACAACAATCAGTACATGGTGCTGGACCTGAAGAAGGTCAAGCTGCAGAAGAGCCTTGATGAGGGTGCATTGTACATTGTTGAGCAGATCCCAACCCTTGTGGAGTATTCTGATCAAACAAATATTCTCCGGAAAGGTAATAGTTCCTTACAGCGCTTACTGGCTTAGGAAAGCCATCTCTTTGTGTCAGCTGATGGAGAGTCATGCTTTGTAACTGGGAAGGGCTTACTGAGCACTAGCGCTGAGTTGCAAGACAGAAAGCTATGTAGCCAGGTCTATTCTGTTGTATTCACTTTTTCATGCTGTGGCATAAATGTGGTGAGCATCTGTGTTTTTTAGAACCAGGGAAGTGAAATATAGGCTTTACCTTTCTTCTTTCTTTTCCTTGCCTTTTTTCCTGGTATTATTTTGCCCTGTCTTAGAGACCCATGAGGAAAAAGGTGAGGTCTCTTTGGAGTAGTACTAAATAACTGTGATGCTGTGGGCTACTTGCAATGTTTGGTGAGTGTGTCACCAGGCAAGGAGATGAGCTTTAAAATATGAGAGAAGTTCTACATTAGATTCAGCTTCTGAACTTTTCTAGAGCTCTGTTATCTGATAAGTACTTGCTGTTTAAAAGGTTCCTTAGTATCAAGACTAGCAACAGCTTGTTGGAAAACAAACAAGCAAAAATCCAGGTGAAGCAAAATGCCGACTGTCAGGTTTCCTTCACAGATGTCTTATACACGCTTTATGGCAGCATCCAAGAGCTTGAGCTCATTCCACAAATTTAAGTGCGTGTCTGGTGCTTTGTGGTCCTTCCTCTAATCACGTGCAGAGGAGGTGAATTGATGAATTGCTTTTCATCATCAAAATGACTGGAAATGCATTTATGTTAGCAGCTGTGGTTATTTCACTCTGGATTTTTCCCCTGAGTCTGTCTCCTTGGAAAGTTCTGGCTTATTTCAGGCATTGCCACAATGCCTAAGGGCACAGGAGTGTGCTGCAGTTCATGTTTCTTTATGATAAGTGAGTAGTACATTGATTTAAGCATCAGAAGTAACACATCAGAACCTGGGGTCTGAGTCTCTTCCACTGGATATGTAAATATTCCCATTGCTCTTGATATTGCCGAGATCTCTTGCTCTCATGGGCAGAGGAGGAAGCAGTTTTGTTTCAGACAATTTTTGCTGTGTTCATGTAATCCTTCTCACCCCCCTTCAGCTTTACACCATTTCTGACTTGTTTTTGTCACTGTTCACCCTGACAGGCCTAACTGGCAGGTTTCACTGGCTTATAGCAGCCCTTGGGTAAAGCCTGCCTTAGGTTGGGTGCTGCGCTGCCTGCATGGGATTTGCAGTCTTGCAGAGGCTGAGATGCAGAAGAGCTTGTGTTGGAGGAAAATTTGAATAGCTTCTTCTGTTTTTAGCAATTTAAACAGAAAGTTTTTCCAGGTGGGATAAGGGAGTCATCTGTATGCACTGCATTCATGTGAGACAATAGCAACCTTTTGAATTACAACTAAACCCTACTGGTATGGGAGCTGATGTATCTGTATCCGCTGGCCAGTGTGCTCATTCCTGGAGGATGCCTCTATTACAACACAGTTTGTGTACACTACCCTTTTCCTTTACATAGGTTCTAGGTCATGTAAGCAAATGACAGCAGACAGGGTGTTCCTGGCAGCTGCATGCTATGCAGGACACAGGCTGGTAAGGTCTCAGCTCAGGTGGTGTTCCAGTGTTTATGCTGCCTGTGTATCTGCCCTTCAGGGGGCTTGGTTTCTGTGTGTTTTGCTCACTGTGAGTCCCACTTGGTTTTTCTTAAGTATCTCACAGCCAGACTCCTCACGTGCTGGGCTGACATTAATACATGGAGTGCTGCATTTACCAGTATCTAGACAAATAAAGTAGTAAAACTCTAAGCCAAATCCTGGTGTGTGTCATTTGAGAAGCAATGTTTCCACTGACACCAGGAATGCTAGGAGTTTGGAGAGAATCTGAAAGTGTGCTGCTCTTGGGGCTAGCTTATGTTATGTGCTCTCTCCCTGAATACTCCTTGCTACCAGCCTTGCAAAAGAAACCCCAACAAATTAAATGTTAAGGTATAGGCATCTACTTTTTATCTCTTCCAGGACTTGCTGTACCCAGATCCTGAACTGGATGGTCTTCTGGCTCTTTATAAGCTCTTCTCCTTTCTATACTACTCTTGTTTCAGGCAGTTGTATGTCAGCTATCTAAAACTCTCTGGAGGTCTGGCTGTTAAACCTGCTCTTCAGAGTTAGCAAAACTGCAGGATTGGTACTTGCTCCTGGAAAGGTTAGGGCAGGGCTCTGCTCTGCCAGTCAACCACTCTTTAACCCTCAAAGGCAGATACTGGCAAATGTGCATCTATCCCTCATCTTTCCTTATTGCAGTGTGCAACCACAACTTTCCAAACACGTATTTGTGTGTGGTCTGTGTGTGTTTGTGGGTTATCTGTCTGCCCCTGCTATGTCAGCACAGTGTATTACCCTGCTGTGGTGAGATGGGAGGCTTGGGCAAAAGCTGGGCAGTTTGGTGGAGGCGAATGATCTTTTGCTCCTCTGAGGTTGAGCAGGGAAACCTGTGCGGGAGGTTTCTCTGTGTATTCACTTCAAACTCCTGCAAGTTTCTCAGCTGTTTTGCACAATGAGTCTGCAGGGTGGAAGTCTGGGGGCAGGTTGCCTGGGTGCAGTCTCCAGTGGTGTTTATACTGGGAGTCAACCCTGGTCATCCCAGTGACTATTGCCTTATTTTCTTGTGTTCAAACCAGTTTGACGTGTTATTCCTCGACATGCTGTTAAGGCAACACAGCATGGAAAATGGTTTATTTTTCTTTTTTGATGTAAGCAAGAGCATTCAGCTTTTCTAAGTGATTAATAGCTTGGATTTTGTCTTTGGCAGGTTACTGGCCTTCATACAATATTCCTTTCCATGAAAAGATTTACAATCTTAGTGGGTATGCGGCGTATGTTGAGAAGTATGGCATGGATTTCTCTTACGAGCTTGCTCCAAGAGCAAAAATCTTCCGTCGAGACCACAGCAAGGTGACCAGTTTGGAAAGCATGAAGTACATCATGAGATACAACAGTAAGACACGTGTTTATGTACTGTGGAGCTGATTTTAATAAAGCAGTGTTACTTCTGTTTCTTGGATCATAGTGGGAAGCTGCAGCCTCATGTACAGATCAGAGTTCTATTACCCTATGTGAAGAGTACACACAAAGAAAAAAGAGTAACACAGTGTCATTGTTGAGGTAGGAAACCAGGCTAAAATGACTCTTAATAGAAACAAGACTGAGTTCCTGCTAGAACAAGGGCCCTCAAGCTTGCTGTTTGACCTTTCCAGAGAGTTTCTGATAACTCCAAGAGACTCTGTGGGCTGCTGTTCCCTAATACATCTACAGCCTGTCAATCTTGAAAGCCTTAAATCCTAAGCAACAGTTAGGTCAAATCAGATGAAAATTTAGGGTAAAACTACAGGTCTTTTGGTTTTGGTGTGTGGTGTTTCATTTTTTGTTTTTGTTTGGTTTTGGTTCAGTTTATTTTTTTCCTGTTCATGCAAATAATCTTTCGTAGTTAATGCTCTGCTCTGCTTTTCCCTGACAGGGGGGTTCTTAACTGCATTACAACCATCTTAGTTAACTTCTGGCTAAGCCCATCTCTAAGTACAGATAGCTTTAGATGCTATATTTTTATTCCCAATTATAGGGAGCGTGCTGATTACTGGGCTTGGGGTTTGGGAGGCCTCTCCCAGGGTGGGGTATTGACAATGTTTTGGCTGTGAGTAGCAGCATGTTCGTAGATGTTGAGGCTTGTCCACCTTCCCCTCTTAGTTTGCAGCTGCTACAGTGGGTGTCTGAAGGCTTTGCTTCACGCTACTTACTTTAGTCCACAACAGGAAAACAAAGGCTCTCACTGCTGCTCTTTTCCCTCCACATCTCATCCCTGCTTTGCTTGCTCTTCTGCTTTTGTCTCTTGACAGCGTTCCCGCAAAGTTTCATCATGTGGAGTTGCAGATGTTTGTGGTTAGAGGTTGGCAGTGGTCCACTTGGGATGCAGAAACAGTTGTATGGACTTGGATTAGGAGCTTGTCTACTAATTGTCCTGTCTCCAGCACTGACTTCTAGCTGGTACCTGGGGAGAAGCATGAGAGCAATGTGATAGACCTGTGTTTCTACCAACTCACCCAGATTTTAGTGTCTTGGACACTTTGCATCAGCTTTTTGTGAGGGGACTAACTTACTTTATTTTCTTTCTTCCTTCCCTCCCGACCACATTTCTCTCCAGACTACCAGCATGATCCTTATGCTGAGCATAATCCTTGCAACACCATTTGCTGTCGGGAAGACCTGAATCCTTCTTTTCCAGTGCCTGCAGGCTGCTACGACTCCAAGGTAGATTACCTCCGTTTTGGTATCTGCTCTACATTTGCTGCAGCCTCTGTGCTCCCGTTAGACCTGTAGGATGTCTCCCTGCACTAGGACATACATGGCCAGGCCCATTGGTTTCCTCCTTTCATACTGTCCAGGTGGTCGGGCAGATCTTGAGGTCTGTGCAGAGTCCTGTTTCCTGCCCTTGACACCAGTCCTGGCACAGTGGCAGAGGACAGAGGAAACAGGGGGTGGTGTAGGAAAAGAATGATGGGAACTTGTGGTGCTTAGGAGTTAAAGCCCAAAGCCTCGCAGCAGGAGGAGCCTAAGAGAAAGCTGGAAGGAGTCATCACATCATTCCAGGAAGGTGAGTCCTCTGACTCCATTTCATGGGGGCTGTGTGGGTGCCTCCCCAGAGCCTACAGGAATGTTTTTTCAGTTGCACTTAGTTTTACCTTTACAAAAGCTTGGCTCTCTACTGAGTCACCCTGCTCCAGGGCTCCACCTCTCTGTGAAACTGTTTTGTGCACAATTTGGTAAAGATCACTTTGCTTTTGGGGGGGATGCAGGAAAATCCTCAGACCCACTGTCCTGCAGAAAGCAGCAGTTTTTCTAGGCAGCCTGTGTGGTATTTTCACCGTGAGGGGCAATACCTGAGTAAACAGCTATCCATGCCAGCCCTGTTGTGCTGGGAAGTTGTACGATGTTGTGTCCTGTTGGGTCCAGCCTGCTGCATTTTGGAATTATGAGTTGGTTGCTAGGATGGGCCCTGTGGAGGCTGTTTTGGCATCACCAGTGCTGTGTTTTGGCATTGCTTTATGTCCAGTCAGTTTACAGGAATGGGCTAGGGGAGGACAGGGACCCACTGAGAGAAGTAGCCCAGAGCAGAGGTAAAACCTGTCAGTTTCAAGCACTTGAGTGCAATTTTAGTGTCTCTGAGTTTGGGAAGATGGAGCAGGCTGGAGACCTCTTGGGTGGTAATACAGGAATAGGGTGGAACCTGGGCAGCAGCATTAACTCTGTGCTGCTTTTGTCCTTTCCTGAATTACCCTGACTTGCTGCAGGGGACAGCCCAAGCACTTAACATGCAACAGAATTTATATCAGGCCATCTAGGCTGCCCACTGCACCTCCACCTCTTTTGGAGACGCAAACCCAAGAAGGATTGTCCCAAAGGCAGATGTGCTGTCCCTCTCACACTGGGTAGCACGAGGGCAGGCGGGCTTGTACTTTGCTGCTGCTCTTCAGCTGGGTGCTCTCTGCCTGAAGATGCCTCTGTGCAGGTGAAGAATGCTGCCTGATCAATGCATTTCCGCTTGCTCATTTTCTTTACCTTGTTGTTATCAAGTCTCCTGGGCTATCCCTGCTCTGTGGGATGGCTGCATGTCCACCGCCATTTTGCTCAAACTCCTGTCCTTTATTGCAGGTGTCAGACTTCCGCCTGGCTTCAGCGTTCACAGCCACCGCCATCAACGGCCCCCCGGTGCAGGGCGGTCTTCCTGTTTTCACCTGGAAAAGATTTAACCACACACGGCACCAGGGCCTGCCAGAATCATACAACTTCCATTTCGTCACCATGAGGCCTATCCTGTAAAACCAGCATCAATATTCCCAAGTAGTTTTGGGTTGTTTTTTTTTTAACAGAAATTTTCATTCCTGTGTGTAATAAATCAACCTGATGGCCACATCCCTGTGCCTTACGTGCCTTCCCCTGTCCTGCCTGCTAGGCACTTCATGTTGACATTGGCTGCCTTGGTGCAGCCCAACACATGTTCCGCTCTTCTGAGCTATTTGGATGGCCTGTCCTTTGACTAGGATTCATGGAGACTTTGGTGATCTGAGCCATCATCACAGCTGTTCCTAGAGCAGGAGAGAACTACAGTTTGATCAGTTAAAGTGATCTATCTTTAGTAGCAACACAGGACCTGCCTGGGCTGGCCAAGCCAAGTGGCTGCTTTGGGCCAGTGTTGGGCTTATCTCGGTGCTGGGTTGGTGTCTGCCCTTTGTCTGAGCAGTGCCTGTGAGATGTGCTGCAAATTCCTTCTCATTTCGAATGTCTCTAGCAGAGTCAAGGCTGTGTTCTCCATGGAAGATCAGAGTGCCTCTTGCCTACAGAGCATGGTGATCAGTGGCATTTGCAAGATTCCCTTTGTCTTGCCGAAGCAGCGTGCAAGGATCAGGCTGCAGAAGGCAGTGAAGGGATGTGCCTGGTGATTTCTGAAAGCAGACAAATCTTTTGGAAACAAACACACATACACACATGCTCACTCTCCCCACCCCTGGCTGCAGTGTAGCAGCAGGGAAAGAACTACGTGTGTTGGTGGGATGGATCTCTCACTGATGGATCCAGGTGCTTGCTCAGTGACCTCTCTGCCTGCTTTATCAGCTGTGGAAGTGGAATAGTGGAATGTGATGCTGGCCCTAACAAATGGCCAGGGCTGTACATATTGCTCTTAACTACCTGTGTTTACACTGAGGAGTGTTTTGTGCTAGATGTCATATATGTAATTAAGTAAAACAAACTAAACAGCTCTTTCCTCATGGCCTAGATGGTCCAAGCTAAACTGGGCACAGCACTGCCCCGTGTTATGAAGGGGAAGAATGATCAGTGTGAGGTTTTGATCAAACCCCTGGAGTTTAGCTTGTGTGATGGGGGAGTGAGTTAGTTACTGCAGTACAGGTGAGGTTCTAGCCTGAATGGTTGTCACAGTAGGGCTAAGGGAAGAGGGAGACCAGAAGTTACAGCCAAAGCTTTTGCTGAGGATGAAAAATCCATGCAGGGACTGAAGTGATTTGCTTGCTGGAGCAGGAGGTAAGTGTGAGAGGCTGGAGGGAACATCTGTGTCATGTGCAGGGGTAGGAGAGCGCTGCGGGAAATGACCAATTGCTGAAGTACTCGCCATAGAGCTGCTTTTTCCTCTGCAGTACAGCTCTTTGTTGTGTAAAATTTGCTGAACAAAATTACTCAGTTGTGGTATGCGGACACACTGTATGCATATGCACTGGTGCATGGGCCAGTTGCAGCTGTGCCTCTGCTAGAAGGAGATGGATGAGGCTGGTTGCTTCGTGCCTCTTGCGAGCCACAAGAGGTGGCAGTGCTGCGCCGGTGCTTTCCGCTGGAGGTGACGGGGGAGGAGGCAGCCCCAGCCGCACCATTTAAAATTCTGCGCTCACTTTGCTGCTACCCTGAGGTTCAACACCAGTGAAGGTGTCTCGCTTGCCCACAGCTGGGACCACAGCGACCTTCGCTTCTCTGTGAGCCCTTGCCCGTGTGGCTTGTTTTTGCCACAGGCTCTATGCACAGACCGCCTCCGTGTATTTTGCAATCCCAGCCACCCCACCCTGCCCTGTTCCAGTTGTGTGGAATGAAGGGCAGTGGAGCTCTGGGGTGAGTGGTGTCTCCCTGAGCATGAGCAGCAGCACTCAACCAAGCAGCCCCTACCTCTGTGTTAAGCTCTACGGGTTGTGTTATATGTCCCTTGTGGTGGTTGCTCGGAGCCTGCGGAGGGCAGGCTATCGTTCCGGCTGGCCTGCCATCAAGGGGCGCTCGCTCTCTGTCGGGGTGTTAGCTTTATGAGCTCTCACTGGGACTCTGTTTGCAGCCCCAGCACTCGAGGGCAGCAGCCTTGATGCTTTTTGGCTAAGCACCAAATATGAGCTAAGGACTTTTTGTGGAGCCCTCAGGTGTTTGTCAGCCTTGAGATTTCTTAAACCCCTCTGCTGAGGACTGGCAGCCACAGAGCCAATGAGTGAGCGTGTTGTACCAGGCATTAAGGAGCACGCTTAAAAGGAAGAGTGGAGCTGGGTCAGGAGGGCTGGCAGCAAGCAGAAAACCAGGAATCGGCTGCTTGAGACTGGAAACACAGAGGGGCTAGGATGGCTGTATGCTACTCGACTGTCAGCCCCAGGCAACACAGGACCAGTGCCGGCCTCTTCACTCAGTCTTATGTGAAAATGCTAATGGAAAAGTGGTGTTTGTTTAAAAGTTGGTTCCCAGGGACCAGGAAATTGATGATTGATTATGGTTTTGGACAGTGATCCAGGGCACACCTGGATGCTCCCCCCTGCAGGGAGCAGAGGCATGCAGCAGATGTGACATGCCCATTTGTTATGGGACATTGAAATGGGAGCTCTGCCTTCCTCCCTCCTTCAGCTTCCTACCCTGGGGCAGGAGCTCTTTTGTGCTGAAACACGGAGCTGTGGAAAAACAGATCTCTGCTTTTAAGAGCCCTTGTCTATGAGTAAATGTTTACATCAATGGGACCTTCTGAGCCTTAGGACTCTCATCCGTGTGACTGTGGCTATTTTTTTTCCTTGTGTTTAAGTGTGCTGTTAAAGGTCACTGCATTCCTCTTACTGTGCTGTCCTACGTGTGTCCTTTGTCAGCAGGCCAGCCTGAGCCCATCTGCCAACCACAAGCACAGCAGCTGGTTCTAGCTCCTCTCCCCAGCACAGCAACATCAAGGACTAGAGGAGAAGGCTTTACGTATGGATGCATGGACCTGCAGGGAGGGCCAGGGAACTGACAACTTTATTTTCAGGCAACCGTATAAAGTTAAAATGTCTCTTTCAGCACCTTACTGCCCTTGGCTATAAACCCGTGTCTTAAGCATTTAAACTTCAGGCTTTCAGGCTTGGCTGGAGCGGGCCTTACATAGTGGGAGGATGGATTTTGGAGGCAATTGTGATGAACCTGTCTTACAACTATAGACACCTGCTGTTCAGTCACTGGGACCTGCCTATAGCAGAAATGACGCCTCCCAGCACAACCACCAGTTCCTCACTTCACTTTATACCAGCCCAAACTGCAACAGTGCTTGAGCACAGTGACTACACTCTATTTTATGATAAAACTAATGCTCTAAGCTCTGTGTAGTGTGTATACTCTCATTTTAAATAGGCAGTTTGAGAAACTTGGGACTTTCAAGTGTGAGTGTGTTCAGGCATCACTTCACAAAAGTATATCATCTTTGGGTCAGTGGCTGGAAGCATGTTTCAGTAAGTGCAAGAAACTAATTATTACCAGCATATATTAATTATATGTCCATGAAGTACAGGCTCAGCACTAACTCAGGGATGGCATGACAAAACTAAGCTTCAAGTACTTTGAGTCCTCTAGAATTTGGCAGCAGAGCTGGGGCCAAGGGGCAGCTTTTCCCATACTGCCTTCTGGTAAAATTGTTTACAGGGGCTCAGCTAAGTTCCACAACTTATTTCATAGTGTTATATCTGGCTTCTACCCTTGAAAAGCAACAGCTTGGACAGCAGAGGCTTTCTTGATCCCTGCACTAAACCACCCTTTTTATTACCCCCGATTTCATTACCCTTGACTGATGCAATTAGTTCTGTGCACAACAGTCAGCCCCTGGCTTGAGAAGCATGGGCCAGTTGGGTGTGCTGAGACCATTGCTGCAGGCTCACAGCTCTAATCCTTCAGGGTGCTGTGAAAAACTGGAGTCATCATCTCTACTTTGTCCGCAGCCTCTTGCTAAAAGAATGAGCATTTTTACAGGGGGCAAAAACACAGCCCCTTGAGGGGAGAGGAGAGTAGCACCAGCAATTTGGCTTCCATTCCTCTCCCCCCACCAGCGCAACGTCAGCATCCAAGTTCCTCGATTCTATCTGTGCAGGGCACATAGAATCACAGAATGGTTTGGAATAGGTTGGAAGGGACCTTAAAGCTCATCCAGTTCCAACCCCCTGCCATGAGCAGGGACACCTTCCATTAGACCAGGTTGCTCAAAGCCCTGTCCACCCTGGCCTTGAGCACTTCCACAGCCCCTTTGCTTTGCAGAATGGCCTAGAAAGTGACTTTCCAGAAATTATAGCATTGCTTTAATTTCCTCCTTCTCTGGGAAGGCAGAAAGAGCAAGGTCATGCAGTTGCCTTCCTGGAAATGACCCAGAGCCAAACCATTGCTGCCTAACGTTACTTGAGCAAGGTGGCACTGTGTCTGATGACAAAGAGCACACATTGGGCTGTTTTTGAAAGAGCGGTCTTCGGAAGTGTCTGGAACTAAGCACAGATGACTCAAAAGGTTAAAAACCCAGTAGTTGTTTATTTCAAAGTATAAATTTCAGGCTTGTCAGACAAAACCCCACTACAGTTAACACAGACACACACACTCATCTACAGTACATACAAAAATGGGGAGAGCTTGCAACTGCCCAGTTGAATTTGGACATGAAATCAGTCCTGGTGTTTTGGTTTTTTCTTTTTTTTGTATTTGCAAGTCCAGCTGCAAAACAAAAGAAATCAGATTCTGAGTTTCCTAACAAAGGATTTTGCACATTTGACTCCCAATAGCCAATAAATTACTAAAGCTGACCAGGCCTCCCCAGACAGCTGTTACCCAGTTATCTAATTTACAGATATAACTTATTAAATTAATACAGCACTTCAAATATATATAAAAATGTGTGTATGTATATCTATATATAAAAGAAGAGAATGCTCAGCCTGCATAATGACAATGAGAAATAAAGATGCATTTTAACAAGTACTTAGGCTGAAAATTCATTCATTTGCTTGCTTTCAGCTATCCTTATTTTTTTCTTTCTCCCCTCAAAAGGTGTTTGGAAGGAAATACAGATTCTGGTAGCAGGGCTGGCTCAGTGTCATTCGAACTCCCCTCCCTCCAGTATTTTCACACAATGCCCACCCCTACCCAAACCAACAAATCGGGAA